TAATAATAAATGCGCTTTATGTTTCATACCATCAAGCAATAACCGAACTTGTCAAAAACTACTTATTCAGACAGGCAAATCCTATTGATTACTGAAAATATTTCACTTATTTTGCCTGCAATTTGTGTGAAATGAAATCATTCACAACATTTGTAAAATTAGGTTGCGGCAAAAATGAAAAATATTCTTAAAGGTTAATTGTATACATCCAATCGATAGCTGCTGGCGATAAATCACAAACTATAATTTTTCTTTATATTATTGAATGAATAAAATTCCTATGAATTTAATGTTTTTTGTGTGAATTAATAAATGGATGAATGTTGTAAGCTTGTAAGTCTGATTCATTTATGAATAGATCAAAGAGTCGGTGTTAAATAAGGTGTAAGCAACAAGATGAAAGTAATAACAAGCTTTTACTGTTTGATTTGAATTGCGTTATTTTTTTTAATAAGACTTATCTGATAGTCAAAATATTTGTTTAAATTTGAGCATTCATATTTTTTATTTTGCAAGTCTCAGGTCTGAACTTTTTCATTTGATTAATGGAATATGGAGAAGTTATCAACGTTGAGAATATTACAAAAAGAGTTGGATATAACAAGTTTCATGCCAGACATTTTTTTTTTGAATTTGCATGGCCTGAAATTTCACCTTTCATAAATTATAAAACGGTCGGAATCAGATATTTTTGATCTTAATGTGAATCTTGAATATTTCTTTCCATGGAATTATTGAAATATCAGATAAATTGGAATTTTTAGACAAGGTTTAAGCTAAATGATCCCATAAGTATAAAGATTACTGTCGTTTTCATCTTAAATAAGTAAAGTTATAAATGGTTTGCCTACAAACTCAACTTATTCGTTTATTTATAAATAATCTAATTAAAGACGCACAAAAATAGCTTCAATATTAAACAAAAATCACGCTATTTAAACAAAATGTGTAGACTAAAATCCGCCAAGTTGTTCATTTGCTTACGGATTTAAAAATAAAGTGATATCACATTAATCTGTCGTGAAATCAAACATTTATTAGAAAATATTATCATTTTAATAGGAAGACAATTTTTCGATGCAAAACTACTTTAAATAGAGACAGCTTGAACCACTTAAAGCTACTGAATGCTATGCCAAGTCTGGAAAATATCAAATACTTGTCATTATTAATTAAATCAATGCTTAGTCACTTGAAATTAATTAGCTTGAATCTTTTTTGGAATGTTTAATTGAAATCTTCTGACTTTTTAATGTTGTGCTGGTACAATTATCTGATTTACTCTCTTGTATCTTGAAACCTACTCTCTCATTAATGAATCCAAAATGTAAAAAATCAAAGTTGTCTTAACCTCAAATAGACACTCTCTCAACTCAGAATATACAGCAACAATTCACATGACTGCACTCGTCAATACTCTAAAATTATCGATTCTGATAACTCAAATATTTGCATTCATAAATTATGTAAACTGTCTAATAAGCACGTAATAACGAGAAAAAAGAAGAAGCAATCTTTTTAGCCAAACTATAACAAGTCGAATGTCTAGTCATAATAATTATTTGCTCACTAGGGTATGAATTGTTGAGTAATTATTATGTGCTAAAATAAAGGAAATGGGACTTGATATTTTGATTGTTTTTTCTGTTGTAATACATTACTTCGTACACAGAAGCAGTACAATAAGTTCAGAACAGTTAAAGTTAAATGAGATGTTTATATACGAGAAATACGGTAAAAGTAAATTAGTAGTTTTGCATGTGTTTATTACTCTAACCTTAACCTTAGCTTAATAGTGAGTTGATTGAATAGAAATGTGCGATTTAATTTGAGAGAGGCTTGGAATTACTTTATCATTCTTTCTAATTTTCTATTTTACTAAGAGTAAGTCGCTGACGGTGTCTGTGTTTTTTTTGCACATTATGGATTGATTCGAATCTGTAAAATAGTTGCTAGAATATGATCTTTCATGATACTTTGTATTAAAAAAAATTAAGTTTATTTCTAGATGTCGCTTCTAAAGAACCCTCAATCACAATTGCATCTTTAAGTAATTTTATTTACCTCTAAGCTCATTAGGGGCCGTTCAATTATGACGTCCGAAATTAACGGTCATTTTTCAAAAATGAACAATGGATTTCCAGGAATTTCTATTGTTCTTTTCTGTCTGACCCCCCCCCCCCCCCCCACCCCCTTGGACATCATAAGTGAATGGCCCCATTAGAAAAAATACAAATAAAATTTAAATAGTCTAGCGGTTTCTGGTAACAATAAATTTACATGTTTCTGACACTTTTTCTTGAAACAATGTCTTTACAAAAAACTACTTCTTCATACTTGACATGGTTCTAAAATTTCGCGTACTGTTTATTTCTGTTCTACTTGAATTAGAAGTTTAAGGTTGTGAAATGTTTTTTTGGGTTGTATTTTTAGGTCAAACTAAGGATTGTCGATGATTTTTTTTAATCTGCAGAAAAATTCCTGCAAAATAAATTTTTTGGATGTTAAACCTGTATTTAAGTAGGTCACATTCATATATTTGCACTTTTAAAAGTAATCAGTCATGTAGACACCAGTGTCATAGTTCATTGAATGCAATAGATCACAAAAAAGTCTCTAAATCGTTTAAGGGGTGACTAGTAAATGATGTCCATTAAAAATTTGTATTTTAGAGTCTTATATGGCTGCAAGTTTCATCCCTGTCTCTTTTAATAATTCCACATCATTACTAAATGATCCATAAAGTCGTTAATCAAAAGTTGTGAGTTATTGTGTCTCGCTCCAAGGATTATCTAACTTGAAATGGAAAACTCATCACTAGATTTGACAAGACAATAAGCACTAAAAATCTGCACAAAATTGAAAAGTTTTTACGAACGAATAAAATTTTTTATCGTCAACAAAACAACTTGGAATTGAATAGATTCAGTCTAACATTCCCAATTGTTCTTGCGATAGATAAAAATGATGCCTTATTGTTCATTATACTATTTTTCGAGACTAATCAAATAGAATTCCAGAGCAAAATAACATTGAGAGAATTCCATTCTGAATAATGAAGCAGAGATAATTGTGGAATACAGAATGATGTCATTTTATATCCCACAATCGATGCGATCATTGATGACAAAACTGTTCATTTTTTTTCGAACGAGATTTCACACAACCTTTTCATTTTCCTTTCTGTTATGATACAGAAGAATGTAGAAATCTTTATGTAGATGGAAAAAAAGTGCACAAAACATAAGAAAAAATTTTTTTCTTCACCGTCGATGGAACCGAAATGAATTTCTTGTCTTCTTCTTCTCTTCTTAACTTTCAACAAGAGATTTACAACCTGGAATCTCGAGTTTTGCTTCTCTCTGTCGTCTCCATCTCTTTCTTATGTAGCACAGCACTTTATTTCTCTCTTTTCTTTCACTTTACTTCACCACTTTGGATACACCATAACATCTCTTATGTAGCGGCCTCAAAAGAATTCAATATTCTTATTATTATTTTTCTCTCGCTCTTGCTAGATGTAGCGCATATTTTTATTTGAACAATGCATTCATTTATTTCCTTTGGTCGACTGACTGACTAGCTGATTAAACATTTTGAATTTATTTTTTTATTTTTATGAAAAATTTGCTTTCAATTTCCATTTTTTACGCAAAAAGGGATCTAAATACATGTTTTGTTGCTAAGAGCTTGTTATAACTGTTAGAATGGGGTAAATTGTTATTATGTTAAAATTGAGTACGCAGCTAGAATGTATAAACATGTTTCTAATGATGAAATCACATTTTTTCAGAGAAACGTCGTTTGTCACTTGGTATTTGAGTCATCAAATGTTTATTTATCAGCATAGATGTGATCGCTTCCTAGTTGATAGGATTATTGTATTGCTAACCTGTTACCCATTACCTTTTTATTATTGTGAATTGAATTGAACGATTGTGCTGCTTTCAAGGACTTTTAATGCCAACTTCCATGCATTGTGTGTAGTTTTTATCAATCGGAAACAAGGTTACGTAAATAATCAAAAACTATTAGTAATGATTAAAATCCGATTTGTTAATTTTGCAATCTTGATCGGAAATTTTAGAGTGATGAGTTCGATTCTTATAAGAAACTTGCTGTCTGGAAGTTTTATTTCTTAAATCCACGTGAAAAAGAATAATTTCAAGTCAGTCAAAAACATCTATCATCATTTAAAAGAATATATTAGTCATAAAAATCAAATCTTCAAGTTTCTAGTAGCAATTCTTAAGAATCTTCGAATAAATCTTTAAATATTATTTTATTGCGCTAGTCATTGTCAAAATAATCATTAATTCCATCTAAAAACCAATAAATTCTTGGAATATGATACCATAGAATCTCAAAATAAACATTTTACACAACAAAAATCCTAGATACCACATTTTAAGCAATAATCCTTGAATACATAAGAATATGCGCTCCATTTAATTATTCGTGCATAAAATTCAACTCTTTTTGCCATTCTTTCTTAACATACACTCGATAAAATCAATCTGAAGATCTTTTCTTTGATTTTTTTTTTTTTTGTCTACAAATTCGTCCACGTTTTTTCTCAATAGTTTCGCATAAATTAGACACCGCTGTTTGTGCTAATTGCCGATTTGTCACCTCATTCAATTTTTCTGTGCAAATCTTCTTAATTTCCCGATGAAACTTTTTATTCAAGAGTTTTGATTCCAAAAAAAAAAATCAAGGCATAAGAAAGAATTGAGGCAGAGAGAAGAAATAAGAATCAAGTTCAAAAGCCTTGTTTGTGTCTGATTCATGGCATAATAGCACAAAAATAATATTCTAAGTAGAATAGAAGAGAAGAACTAAATGTCTACGGTTCTTCATAGTAAGTTGTTGGATCTAATGAATGTTAGTGAACTCAAACACGGGTGTCCATCAAAGCGTGAAACGGGGCAGTCACTATAGCAACATTAAATTTCCTATACAATCAATTTTTATTTTGTTGTTTTCCACAAGCACTTTACCTTCGCGTTGATGCTTATCGCCGAGCACTTTGCAATGAAATCAACAATTATTAATATTTTTTTTGTTATTAACTTTTCTAGCCTTTATTTTATTTTTTTGCACACGAAAACAAACTGGGCTGCAAGAACTTTTTAAAATTTTTGGTTCACACACTTAACAATTTTTTTTTTTATAATTAACTTATTCTCTTTTATTATTTTATGAATTGGATCAAAAATTATTTTTTTTTTCTTTTATAAACTTCTTTCACATTTCACACAATTCTTCTCAATTTTTTTTATTATTATTATTCACATTTTCTTAATATCATACGTGCTGCAATTTCTTCTTCTTTTGCTTGCCTCAAAAAGAATCCATTTCGAGATGTAAGAAAAGAAATAAATTGCTTCTTATTTGTTACACAGAAGAAAGATTCACAAGATGTTATGTGGAGAAGAAACACACAACAAAATAAATATAAATTTTTATTTCGAACTTAATACGACTGAGAATGATCGACCGCGCAACTTTCCCGGTTCAACATCGCAACTAAAATGAAATAAATTTAATATTTTTTTTTTTCTTTCTGTTTTGCTCTCTCTCAATTTTGTATAGTAATACAAAAAAAAAGCAGGCAACCGCAGAGTACAAGGAATATAGAGAATATCTCGTGAAAGAAACGGCTTGAAAAAGCAAAACAACTAAAAAATTAGGTTTAAAATTATTGTGTTGATATTGAGTTAAGACGCATTTTTGGAAATGATCAGTTTTGAATACAATTGTAGTTCTTTAAAAACCTTCAACATACATAAATTTTAAAAATTAAAAAGTTCCTAAAAATATTTATCGATAGTCTTTGACTCACGGAGATTCGAACTCGGTTATTTTGCTAGAATTATAAAATTCTAAATTTCTTTTATTTTGTATGGATACGACAATGTTGCTGTTGAGCACTGGTATTGAAGACAAAAGGTGCTAGTGTTTTTTAAGGGCGTAGCCAGAGAGGGGGTTTTGGGGTCAACCCCCTTTCCTATTTCTTCAATTTGCTAGGGTTTTTGCACAAACAAAAATCACAAAACCCTTATAAATTTATCAAAAATTTCTGGTTACGCAACTAGAGTGTACCATTAGTACCATTTACTCTATATCTCTTTGAAGATCATTTACTTAAAATTTTTTTCAAACAATAAGAATATCAGACTCGTTCTCTGTTCATAACTTAAACCCAAATTGACTCTCTAAACCCCTCAAACCACTCATTATAAAAAAAAATGTTAAAAAATACCGTAAACAACATGAAGTGTATAATGAAAACCAATTAGAGAGGCATTTTTATAAATTGAGAGTACAGCCGAGAGAAAGAGAGTAGCCATCAACAAAAAAATGCATCAAGCGAGAATGAGAATATCCATGAATAAAATAAACCTATTAGACACTTCTTGAAGACCACAGCGAAGTAGTCACGTTGACATCGGTCATTTGATTTTATAAATATTTACATAGCGATAATTGATTTTTTTTTATTTCGCGTTCTCAAATGTAAATAAAAAACAAATTTGGACTACGGCGAGTCGCTCTCAAATGTCAATCGCTCAGGTGGTTTTCTTATTCCTTCATCGGTCTCATTGTGAGAATTTAATTATTGAGTAAATGAGTTCATTTGTTCATAAAATTAACAGAATGAAATTAATGTGTGTAAGAACGTCACGAAACCACCACTTCTTAATTACAATGTTCTATACATTCGCGAAATGTGACATTGTATAGAACAAAAACTATTATTGTTTGTGGAAATGGAGTGGAGAGGTAACAACTTTTTATATTTGTGGGAACATTTTTTTTTTTCGGGAAGAAGAAATGGTCTTTTTGATATTGTTGAGTCAGAGTTTCGGTCTGGCATGAAATTCATTAAACATTTTGCAGCAACAACTGGTTTAGAGAAATTTTTTAATGACTCAATATTTAACCTTTCTGATTCATTAAATCTAAGGAGTGTCAAATTTTCCAAATTCAGCTTTTCGACTCCTCCAAGCTCATAACTAATAGGAAATTTTCTAGGCTCATCAAATAACCTAAAGAACTGGAAAATTCCTCTCGTCAATCAAAATAAACAAATATTATTTTCCAAAAAATAAAAATATCTCATTAGCACAAAACACATGTGGAACTACTCAAAATATTTTCTTATCCTCAAATTTAATATTTTTTTTTGTGTCAAATTCCAATCAAATTAGGTTCTGTACGAACATTAAAATGTAATTACGTTTCTAAAACTTTGCATGTAAATGCTTAATGAAAAGAGCACGTGTATAAGGTATTTACAAATGGAAAACAAAATAGAGGCAGTCAAGCTTTAAAATTAAATAAATGCAATACAAATGTTATCTTGAATGGATATTAAAGTATTCAGATATGTGATGTAATATAGGTAGTGATATAAAAAAATATTTTTAACTTAAGCTGGGTATTAATTGAGATTAGAAAAGTGACGGAGTTAGAGATTAGAATGTCAACGTAATAGAAATAGAACTTTTAATGCAGCTGACTAGCTAAGAAATATGTCTTTTATTTCACAATTTTGTTTTAAGAAGTCATTTATTATATGAAGAGAAATACTGCAAAATGAGGATCCTTCTTGAAACATGTTTAAAAGTTTGAGAATAAAATCTGAAACACCTGATTAACATCATTAATGAGTGCTTAAGCATTCAGCATAGTTGAGTGAAATCGAGCTTTATGTAGTCGCAACTGAAATTTTAATAGTAAATTTTCTGTAAATCAGGAGCTAGGAAATAGTATTGAATGATTTGAATTTGATTCCCTCCAGAAGCCGATCTATTAATCATTACATTAAGGTAAAATTACAACTCATATTCGATATTGATTTAGCTATTTTCCAATAGATGTCTCTGTCATCGCTATTAAATGAATTAAACACAAATGAAAATTCCAAAATATAACATGTTATAAGATAAGCTGTTAAGCAATTGAAAGTATATGTATATAAATACTAAAAAATTTACATTTAAATACTTTAATATTAGTCAAATCTCATTTTATCCTTTATTTTTAGATTAAATATTATGGAAACACTCATAGCTTTTTATAAAATTAATTTCAGAGATCGAAGCCAATTTTTTCGGCTTAACTCAATTTTTGATTTTTTTGATAGAAAAAAGCCATTTGTCACCCATTTCAAGTATTTAAACTGAACTTTACATGCTTTACTATGATTCTGTGTAATATTTTGTCAGCATGTAGCTATAGTGAGCTCAGAATTTCAAGTTAAAGAATGTTAAGCCGAAATTTAAGCCGATCGGCTTAAAATCGGCTAAATTGAAATTCTGAGCTCACTATAGCTACATGCTGACAAAATATTACACAGAATCATAGTAAAGCATGTAAAGTTCAGTTTAAATACTTGAAATGGGTGTCAAATGGCTTTTTTCTATCAAAAAAATCAAAAATTGAGTTAAGCCGAAAAAATCGGCTTCGATCTCTGATTAATTTATTAAAATTAAACTTCTGATGCTTAGTAATAAAAGACAGCGACGTAGTCAGAAATTTTTTTGGGAGGATTGATCGCAAGATTTGACCTCGACAAACATATAAACAGATAAGAAAGCAAGTTAAGAAAAACGTGGTAATAAAAAGTATCAACAATTATAATAAGGAAAAACATCCTGAATATGTACTTGTTTGCGAATAATGGTTTTGTTGTTTACAATAAAAAATCTATATTAATTCATAATAAAATGAAAAAATTATTTTTTGATCCTTTGCGCTCTCAGTCAAAATTTCTGAGCGTATTCAAACAATCGTGTTTTTGAAAAGTGCTTAAAATCACATAAAAACGAAATTAAATCAAAATCTTAAGGGATTTTAAATAGTTACATTTTATGTAAGTTTGTTTGCTGACAAGCTTTTAGATTTTTTTTATAGCAATTATTGAATATCAATTATTATATTTGTATCTTTCAACTGTATTATCATGCTTTATGAGGACTTGAGAAAAACAATTAAGTGATTGTTTTCTTGATATGCAAATTTCTAGTTCTACCAGAATCTTAAAAAAACAGAAATGTTTTCAAACAGTCTTATCAATTTTTGGTGATTTTTTATTTCTAAAATGACTTAAAAATTTGAATATCAAGTTTTCAAAATTTATATTAAATAAGATATTGAAATTTGAAATCTTGTTTTTTAAAAAAATAAGTTGTGTTTAGATGATTTTAAAAGTTAAATATTAAGATGCAACATAGTGATTTTAATAACCAAATGATTTTAAATGAATACAAGTTTTTTAAAAAGAAATTAATTTGAAAATAAAACTTATTTTATAAAACCTCAGATCATTTATAAAAAACCATAGCAAATGTTCTGCCAAGCATAACTGTGATATCTATTGTTGGTCAGGTCAGGAAAAATGCTTCTACAAGTTTTATTAAGATTAAAACTCAAAAACAAATAATTTTAAATTGCATGTCCTTAATATTTTGCATGTCTTTAATATTTTGTGAAAAAATGAGTGTAAATAAATTTTAGTTCCTTATTTTCTCAAACTGATCAATATTCGCACTATCGAGTCAATGAATGTTTAAAATGTGACTTAAAATTCTCGGAAAATATATAACATTAAGATCATTGAAAGACGTATTTGAATAAATAAATTGGCTGACTATATTTTTGTTTTTAATTGATTCATTATTTTATTTCACTTACAACTTATCATTTGTCACTTAAATTACAACTAATTTTGCCTGATTCAAACTATTTTATAAAAACTAATGTTTTATATAAATGACAAAATTCATTATTAATGTTAATTTCGAACTACATTCCCTAGAGTACATTTTCATAGGAATTTATTTTCAATTGAATCCTTTTTATGAATCAAATTTCATTCATTTCTGAAATTTCCTCGAATTTTCTTGTGCAAGCTTTATTCTTTTTCACCGTCAGCGAAAAATATATATTATACTTATTTTCTTTTTTTTAATTCAGTTAAGTTTTTCGATTTGATCAAAGCGGATTGCTAAGTGAGTATCTTGAATATTTTTTTTTGTTTTTTACTCATAAGATGATAGCGTTTATTTAACAAATGTTGTGATATCTTGAAATTAGTCATTTTAAAGTGTAATTAAGCGTAAACAAAATAAAATTGCTAAATTGTTTCAAGAATAGAATAACCACAATAAGAGTCATGAGAAATTGATGAATTTCATATTATGGTGTTATAAGATAGAAATACTACAAATTTAATACTATATAAATATGAATGCACATTTTAATTTAAAGGAGCATATTAAAGGAGCTACTACCAGTTAAGGTTTAAAAATCTTTTATTGTTAAACCAAAAAATTAAGTAGAGGAAAAATTAAAGTTAAATTATTTAAATGACCTCTGTGGACGTCTTCAAAATAAAGAAATGATAATTATAAATATGAACAGATAACTTGTTATTCCTGTTGAGAATAAAAAATCTACTAAGACGAGTTTTTTAATTTCTAAAATATTTTACTTAGAGTCGTACTTCCCCTAATTCATTTGGAAGTCAGTTGCTGTATAAAATTATTTTTATTCTAGATAACGATATCACTCATTATTCAGCAAAAACCGCAAGAACGCAACAGATTAAACTTTTATCACAAATATTTAAATCGTTTGAAAAAATTTGAAAAGAATGCTTGCAACAACTGTGGAAATTGAAATGTCTTCCATTCTTGAAAGGAAAAATAGAAAAAAAAACGACAGCATTAAACAAACAATTAAGCCTTCATTAATTGGAACCATATTTTGTTCGAAGCTTTTATTTTTCAAAAAACCAAGTGGAAATCAAAAAGGATTCAGCAAATTTGAAAAAATTTTAAGATCAGAAGATGACAAATCATCAATTATCAGTATGGTATTCCGCTCTTTTCAAAATGAAAAATTTCTCTCAAAAACTATTGATCTACAAGCTGTGATGAAGCATTTTATCGAAGGAAATGGAAATTTTCTAAATCTGTTTAGCATCCTTATTTATAACTGGCATGATATGAGTGATGATTCCGAGTACTACCTTATACTGAAATTCAAATCATATGAAATGGCATCAGACAACAAAGAGTCTTTATTTGACAAGCTTTTTGATATAATTGAGGATAAAGAGATGTCAATGTATCATCATTTATGTTTAAAAATAATTTACTACTATTTTGATGAAGTCAACAAATGTCAAGTTGAAAACATCCTGGAAAATACAAACATTCAAATTCTCATTCAAAAAGCAATAGAACTTAGAAATGAAGAATATAAAAGGAGAATCCTAAAAATTCTACTCGTCTATTTAGACAATACAAAAGATGAAACCTACAATAATATTAAAAGGAAAGTACTCGAATCTGTAAAGTATGATTTTAATTTCACTTCGGTCTGCAAAGTATCTTATAATTCTATTGTACGATATTGCGACGATAAATTCTTCAATCTTGTCTTCCTACTGAAAGAAAATCAAGTGCTTCATTTTAAAACAAATTTTCAAGAATGTATAAAAACGTATCAACAACTTCTTGGTGATTATTGGACGAATGCCATAAGGCTGAATGCACAGTTTCTCTATCGAATGGCTGAAGAACAAGGTTTACGAGATACTAGTGAATTTTTGTTAATTTCAACTGGAGATTTTGAACTAAAACAACCGATTGTTTCAAAATTCAAAAAATTGGAAGCATTTTATGTTGTTTTTAATGAACCAATGGATGAAAAGGATGAACAACTTTTGGTAAGTTGATAAATTTAATTTACATTTTTTTTTTGAGTTTTTTAACAATCCATTTTGAGGCAATATTGATATTCTTTTAAAATTATTGCACAAGTGCTTATTGCAAAAAAATCGTAAAGATTAAAACGGATTTTAAACGAAAAATTAACAAAAAAAAAACAATTACAACCATATAAAATGACTTTTATGATTGTTTCATTGAAGAATGCTTTTCATAGTCAAGTGCAAATTGCGAAACAAAAGATATCTTATCTTACTTCCTGAATGACTAACAACGGAAGATATGAAAGTGAATTTAAACTAATTTTTGATATTTATCTATCTAGGAATCACTCACAAATTTCATTAAAAATGACTTTGTTTCTGTTGACGATGACTATGAAATATTCTTCGATATCTATGAATTTGAAAGAAGATTCAAAAACACTCCACTTATCAGAAAGTTGCTCTTTGGGAGAGAAGACTTATCAAGCCCAAGTCTTTTTGAAATGATTTTATCAATGAATAATGCGAATGTTTATGAGAAAGCTGATCACGACTATGTCCTGAACTACATCTGGAATGAGTTTAGACTCTATGAAGTACCGGAAATATTGACTATTGTAAGTATTGTCTAGTAATTTACTAGACATCATGTCAAGAGTTCCAATCGTTTGTTTACTTATTTGAGATAATTCATTTCATTTTACTCGTTTTAACATCTAGAAAAACCCTATGCAAAAGACTTTGCTTGATTATGTCTTAGAGACTAGCAACAATCGCCATTTAATGTCATTCTTAATGACCGTACCATCGGAGTATACAAACTCAACTCAGAAAACAAAACATTACATGATGTTAAAGAACTCCTTGTACCATGATCACAGGACAGATCCAAATGATAAAAGTTTGATTGAGTTTCATTTAAATGTTATCGATGAAAATGACGAAAGTGATCCTTATAATTTGGATAACTTGTTCTACTTATTTGAAGAAATAGGAATTTATACAAAAGAACAAACTAAGAAAAATCAGTTTATAAGAAGCATTATTGAGAAAGTAATGCAGGAAAGATCAGAAAGATTTGATGGACAACATGAGTTAAGATTACCAAGAAAACATTTCCTGATTGGCATTCTCATGATTTATTGGATATGCGAAATTGAAAAAGAACAATGTTGTAAAGTAGCTTCAGATTCTTTAGATGAAATAATTAAATTTGAAGATTATCAAGAATGCCCCACAAAATTAAAAATAACAAGCTTTACAGATAAAGGATTTTTGTTCTTCAAGCTTCTCTTCCTTATAATTAATAAGCAAGAAGAAAAATTTCACGAAATTTTCGCTGACGAAATGAAAAAAATTGAAAAATCCTTTTTGGATGTTTATCAGCTTGAAAGCACTTATGACAACAAACATCAGCATGAAGACAGTGACAATATCTTTCATTTCTATGAAAAATATTCTGCAAATTTCACATATGTCCTTCTATATGCCGCCATTAAGTCAGGTCAAGAGAAAGTTGTTAATCACATTTTCAAGTACAATAACTTTTTAATAACGGAACCAACATTTCCTGTAAATATTGAGCCTGAAGAAATTCATCTTCATACAATGGTTAAATTTCTCGAAAATAAATATGAAATTGGAAGAGATACATTGCCTAGAAACTGGATTACGCATGAAGTTTTAGAGAAATTTCTGAATTCAAGGATTGAGTCGCATGGGGCATTTTACAAAGTTGATTGCAGATTCATGCTTCCTTATTACAACTATGATTTGAATATAAAATCTTCCAAGGAAGTGGATGATGATTTGATAATGAACGAAGACTACGACACAATGGAATATCTGTTAAATGATCATGAGCTCAAGCCTTTAGTTACTCATCCTGTTCTAGAAATGATAATCAAGATAAAAATTCAGAAATACAGTCGCATACTCACATGGAATCTACTGGCATTCATATTTTTCTATATTCTCCCTACAATCGGATTGGTGTATTTATTTCATTCACATGATACAAGCCAAACTATGCCAACCAACCAAACGGATTTTAACACAACAAATTTAGGAAGTAATTACTTTAAATTAGTCTCAATTATGAAACTATTCCATTATTTCTTAGAGGAAACATCACTTAACCTTAACTACATCCTAATATACATTCTGATAATAATACGACTACCTTACATTATGGCTCGAGAATACTTCCAATATCGTGTATTATACCGTGAATCATACTTTAAGGAAAGCTCAAACATTGTTGAATTTGGATTGATAATTTTCCCAATAGCCCTGCTGATCACAACAATAATCCAACAGATCCTGCAAATTAAACTTTTCTTAATTATGATTACGTTTTTCGAATCCTTAAATATAATCGCAATGATTGGAGCCACAGCTTTCTTATTCCCAACTTTAAAGTTTTCAATCTACTGGATGTGCTTTCGAAGAGTTTTTAACAGTTACATGAACATTTTCATTGTTTTTTTCCCAATATTTGTAGGAGTTTCTGCCTTGTCTTACATTTTCTTCCATGATAATATATCTGAAAATTTTATGGAAAATTTGATCATGTATGCTGGTGAACCAATCGTTAGAATTGATAAAGTATCAGGATTTGTCCAAGGATCATTGATGACATTGATCATAATTCTAGTCATCAATAAAGCAAATCTTGTTCTGTCAATTGCTGTCAATGACATAAAAATCTTAATGAATCAGTCGAAAGAATCAAGTCTAATTTACAGTGCACGAAAATATGTCAAGTTTGCAAAGAATATAAGAATTTTCTATGCATGCACTGAATATAAGGAAAAAAAGAGTATACGAGAGAAAATGTTGCTAAAATTGATTCGATTGTTCTTGATAAAATATCCATTTATACATCGGCTACAAACTCTTTATATTGACAAAACGTCAAAGGCTGTTTATGCTGATATTGAGAGATCAATATTTGACACAAAAAATTGTAAAATATCTTTAAAATATTTGAGTCTGACTGCAATTTGCAATTATATTTTCGGACCATTTAAATGTGACATAGAAACTATGGAAAAAATCAAGAAAATTGTTAATTTAGTATTAAAGCACATCCACCAAAAAGCTCTTAATATTGACGATAAAATTACACAAATTCAAAATCCAAACTTTGGTAAATTCTCAAAATACAAATGAAAGTAAAATTTAGAACAACTTTGGTTGAAGTTGACCATTGTTGTTTAACAAAATACAAATAGGATAAAAGCCATTCAATACTCATGTCATAGTTTCAAATCATATTAATATTACATTTTATAAGGTTTAACATAAATCAATCGAATGTTGACTATTGAAGAAACCTTTTTATTTTATTTTAATTATTACAATTGTTTGCATAACATGTTATTTTAGAGATAATCAAAAAACTTATAATATCAAAATAATCATTTTATTTTAGATTTACAAAGATCAAAAAAACATAAAGTCAAAAAAGCCTTTTTCAACTTTACTTTTCTTTCAATGTTAATTTATATCAATTTATATGATCAAATTTACATCATCATATAAAATGATTCATATCATATGTATTTGCTTCATTCTGAAGAGTTTTTCCAACTTGATCCTCCACTTGATTTTGCATATTTGCTTGGTTCGGATGATGTATTGAATGATGATCTGCCATCAGATTTTTTTTTAGCATTATTATATTTATTAGATTGTGATTTTGAATCATCTTTCTTGAATGTTGAAGGTGTTCGACTATACTGTGAACTTTTCTTTAATAACTTGGAATTTGTCGAATTTTTGTCTTTTGAATTATTTGAAATCAAACAAGATCGAGACTTTTCAAGTTCTTCAGGCATTTTTATTGTGCTATGTTATCCGTATTCTAAAAAAACAGTAAAAACCAAATAAGTGTGTAATTTTTTCAGTAAGTTAATTTGACTAATTTCTCAGTTACTTACAAATTGAGTCGTAATGAATTTTTGTGACGTAAACTTTATAAACCCAGACGTTAATTTAGATGTATTGTATAAAGTTCGATGAGGTCCATCTGCTTACTTGTTCTGTTCCATAACTAATGTTATTTCGATTAAAAAAGTGAAAAAATACTTATTACTGCATCAGCATAAACTATTAAGGATCAAAGTTCAAATTTATTGCAAACATTGTTTCAGTGAAAGTCAAAAAGGTTAATTTTTTATGTTAAGCATTATCCTTTTATTTTCTTCTAAATTCACTTTAAAAGTTTTTAGTTGAAAAATTGAAAAAAAAGAAAAAAAATGAATTGATTTAAAGCTTTTTTTGTAAATTAAGCTATGCAATCAAGCTTAAATTTATAAATCTAGATCAAGATATTTCAGATAATGTCTTATGTGGCATGACACTTTAACTTTTTCGTGCTCCTTTTCAAGACTTAAGTCGTGATAAAAAAAAATCTAGGTTGGATGGCCTAGATCTTTAAATCTTACCCTTTATATTTTTTTACAAAAAATCTCTTTGTTTCCTGAAAAAAGAGAAGCTCATTACTGATAAACAATTTATTTCCACTTCTTAACTTCTTTGATCCCTAATAAATACTGATATTACCAAAAGAAAACCAGATAGCGAATTCCACGAAAAAATTCTAAAATTTTCGAAAGACGAAAAAATATTCAATTAAAAATGACTCTCTCAATGTTATATTCAGAAATAGATAGTAAATTTGTGATCTTTTGAGTAAAATTTTCTTAAAATCTTCTGAGAATAACATTTAATCAACCAAATGAAGATCTTTGATAGATTTTTGATTTAAAAAATGTAGATTTGAAATTAATTTTTTTAAAGATTTAAGAGTGTTTATATTCAGGACCAAAGACTTCAATGCTCAGACGATAAAGTCTGTACAGGAACCAAGTATATGTTATAAGGTCGATAAATGAAAAATGATTTTCAAATAAAAACTTAATTTTATCTTACTCAACTCAAAACCTCAGTCTTAGTTTAAGTATCTCATATCATTTTAGAGATGAATATATAAAAACTAATAATAATAACAATCCTTTATTTTAATTGATGGAACATTTTGGCGGAACAATAAGAAAATTATCTTGATATTAACCTAACGGTTTTAAATCAAATTTGTATCCAAACTAAGAGATTGGTGAGTTCTGAAAAGGATACAAATATCTAGACTATTATTTTTCTTATTACACTTTTTAAAAAAGAGAATTCTTTTAAATTTTATTTTATTGATCTAATTGAGCATTTATTGATGTGTATAAAAATATAGGATTCCGTGAAAGAATATTTGATATTTACTCTGTGAAAATTAATGTTTTATACTATTGAGTTACAAAAATATTTAAAAAGTTTATTGCATTACAAATTGTTTAAAAGAAATAAACAGAACATTTATGAAGGATATCATTTACGAGAGCTTCTCAATACACGACCTTCTTTTGTTGTTTCCTCTTTAGAAGAAGTTTCTGGCTCCTCTTCTTTTTGTTGAATCTCTTCGTTACTATCCTTGATCTCATTCAAGGAACTTTGTTTTGAAGTTTCACTTCCAATTTTCTTTCCAGATTTCTTTTCCTTTCGAAGTTCATCGTTTTTATCTTTACTACCTTTGCACTTATTATTTGCTAAAGTATGTCTTTTGCCAATTAAAACGTTATTTACTTCATTCATTTTTCTGGAAGATGATTAAATTTAAAAATAATTTCATGGGTTGAATCTATAAATTGATTTTAATCTTACTCGCTGGGTTCGTCATCATGATCAGAATTTTTGCGCTTTTTAGTTTTAGAATTTCGTGCATTTTTTTGGATTGCTTCTGATTCATCCATTTCAAAAAATTCTGATTTTGGGCTATAAATGAAATTTCTTTACAATATTCGTATTCGATATGACATGTTTTAACATAAACAATTGATTTTGCTAAAATTCTTACCTAATTTCTGCTAAAATCGACTTAAAAACTTAAATTTATTTTAATCAAAACAAAAAAACCCGCGATTTCGAAAAGATTTTTGTTTTTTTTTCGAAAATTAATGTTATATTAGAAGTTTTAAATGCTGTTTATGAAATTATTGAAAAAAAAAATATTTTTTATTATTATTATACAATTGAAAAATAATCATGAAAACAAAATCTTTAAAAAAATTACTATTTAAATGATAATACTTAAAAATCTGAATAGTCACAAAGGAACCGCAGGAAAGGTGCTGCTCCGGAGGATAGCTTTTGACTTTTACTATACACTGCTTTTACCTAGGTGATAACTGGACAGAAGCAGCAGCTTGATCCAGTGCGGAACCTTTGCAAAAATTAATAAATTTGGCAAAACTGGAAATTAAACTTAAAATGTTCAGACAAAGCATTAAAATTGTTCAAGACAAAAATCAATTTGACAAGCTTAGAATATCAAAAAATCTTAAATGAGAGCCTCTCATTTTATGTATCCATTGATTTGTTTTCATCATTTTCGTATTTTTTCTTTTGATCATTAGCAATAGAAATTTCACTATTTGCGGAACTCTGAGAGTCTCCTTGTAACAGTGTGCTTTTATTTAAATTTGATGTACCTGGACTTGGATTTGGATTTTTTGATCTTTTACCTATAATAACATGTTTTTCTTTTTTATCTGCTTCTCTATATTTATCGTTCACATTTTCATCAGAAGTTTTGTTGTTGTTATGTAAAGCGTGTCTATGCCCAGATGGGTTAGGCTCTTTTTTAACTTCAGTTGATGTGCTTTAATAATATGAAAGTTGAAATTTAACACACAAACAGTAAAGTTTTTAATTAACTTACACAGGAGGAGGAATCGTTTTATCTTCATTAGACAATTTTCTTCTTGGACGTCTAGGCTTGTCAGGGTTTTCGTCATTGCTTTCAGGTAGATTTCCACAATCTGAATTTTCACCCATTTTCTTTGTCTGATTTTGTCACTTCGTATTATCTCTGAAATGAAAAACAAAATGATACAAAATTTTGAATATAAAATGTCAAATATGATTATGTGGTTTTTTTTCTAAACCGAATTGATGATAACAGTAAAACAAACTTATTTCAATATATTAAGAAATTATTCAACTATTTTAAATTGAACTTATACGTCACATTGATTAATTCAAAACAGCAGCTATATCGTCCACTTCTATTTTGTTTTCAAACTGTACGAAAGCCGGTAGTAATCAACCCTTACAAATACAATTCTTTTTTATCAATTGGGATGATAATGAGAAACGGCGATAAATTTAAAATTTAAGTTAAGATAAGTTTAAGTTTATTTTTTTATACTATAACTTTGATATACATATTTTAATCACAAAATATTATCACTAATCACTTTATGACTCATTTTTGTTTTTAAGCCTAAACTTTTATATTTTTAAAAAATGTAGTTTGCTCTTTTAAAACTTTAACTATCTGTTTTAAAATTAATTAAGAAATCTATGGCATGTTCCTTTTTATTGGATAAAATGTGTAACATTTGTAATAATATGTGTTTAAAAAATTTACCTGTGGATTTCACAACTTGAAGAAATAAAATCTTTTAATTATAATTTTTTAAATAGTTTCAATTTTTCAAAAATTTATTTTCACTTTATTGCATTTTGAAAGTTCAATGAAATTTTTTAATCCATGATTTTTGAAGCTTCTTCTTTCTCATTCAAAGTTTCAACTTAGAATGTGTTTGATTTATCAAGAAATTGTTCGAAAACGTATCACTATAGTGAATTTGGAGATATAGACTTCTTTTTTTGTATATGTAAGACTGACTAACTTTCAAAATACCAATCAAATTTTCTTAAAAATCTCGAATACCTATATATTTTTTTTCATTATATTTACAACGTAATCAATGACGATAAGATTGCAGTTACACTTTTAATTGTATTTATACAGCTATGAAAAAATGAGTTATAATAATTTGCCATTTTCTAAATTTTCCTTTATTTTGAAATTTAACAATGGTTTTTTTTTGCACACGGATTAAAAAAGTATAACAGTCGATTTTTGAGAGCCTCTCAAAAATATATGTGTTCATAAAAGAATGACATTGTTTTGCTAACTCTTTTACGTTAATTGAAAATAAACTTTTGATAAATTGTGACTTTTACTCTAATAACTTTTAATAAAATGTAGCAATTTCTTTAAATATTGACTTGTTTAAAATTCCTTGATCACATTGCCTTTATCGTTGTTTAGAATCGGAACTGCTTTCACCTTTTGATGAAGGATTTTTTGAATCTCTTGGTCGTCGTTCTCTTCTACATCTTTCTTCCTCTCTCAGTTTCTTGTTTCGATCTTCATCCTTGCAAACACTGTTCTGTTCTAAAGCATGTCTATGGCCCTTTGGATCAAGTTCATTTTTAAAATCTTTTTGAGCTCTTTTTAAAAAATTGAAAAATTGTTAAGCCTAATTTAAAAAAATATTAAATTTTAAATCTTACATATCGGAATCGCCATCAGAATTATTTCTTCTTTGACGTCTTGTCTTGCCTTCTTCTTCATTTTTCCACGAATTACTCATTTTTATTTTCTAGTTAAGATTGAAATTTGTTTTCGTCTGTCTAATATCTTTATATTAGATTTCTTCTCAAATATCACGAAGTATTTCCACTTTTAGAATCTCAAAGTATTTAAGTTAAACTAAATTGAAGAATTTTCTGCGAAATATTAAAATTTTATTTTTTTTTGTTTATTAAGTCAAACGAAAATAAAACTTTCGATGAAGAATTATTTTTTCGAAAATGAACATTCTTATTCGAATAATGTGTATAACATGTTATATTAGCTATTATGCTCATTCATCTATGTTTTTTGTATTTATTGTAACTTATTTGCAGGCTCAAATCAACAAAATTTGCAATTATTAATTAATTGATAATTTATACTTTGCATTAACAACTTACTTTATTGTTAAATTACGAAGGGAGCAAATGTATTTCCCACTCAGAAAAGGAGAACAAAAATTAAATTTGATAGCAATTGAAATATTACTGATTAGAAATAATTGTTAATATCATTCACTTTATTAATAAAAAAATTCGATGAAAAATGTAATGCGATCATCCAAATTTAATGCCAGATACTCATTATCTAAAATACATGTGTCACAATTTGCTACAAAAATAAAGAGAACTGTCTTTACAACATTTTTTGAGTTTCTGTTCTATTTATAGATTTTAACGATTAAAATGAAAGTTGTTCTAAAAATCACTAAGTCGATTGACAAAATTTCAATTATTATCCCTTTTTTATTATTTCAAGGAGAAATTTTTCTCTAAATATTAATTTGAAATTAATTATGTTTTGCGTTTAAAATACAAAAACCGAACACAGAAAATAATCATTTGAAGAGAAGAAAGAGAGTGTCTATGAATCATGCATGTAGACTTAGGGATTCCTGTTTTCTTATTCCTACTACAAAATTAAAGATGTAATGATCGTTGTTGCCGTATGGAGTATAAATTTATTTGAATCTATATTTTGGAACTATCTCCAAATTTTTCATGTCTAATATGGTCTTTGTATCTAATTCTTGATTATGTTTTCACAATATATATATTATAGCTTACTTGGGATAGCCACTTTACTTTAACATAAAACTAGATAATTTTGTTTCAAAAAATAATCAATTTAAAATGCTAAATGTATGAGCAAGTTGAGCTCATCACAAACGTGTCAAAAAAAAAGAACCTCACAGATATATGATTGTGTATTTAAACGCTTATATTGCCGGTAATATTCTCATACATGAACAAAAATGCTGTCTTGAGTCGCACAAATATTACGAGATAAAATGCTCATGTGTTTAATGCTTCCTTTGCATCTCAGAGAATATCATATGAGAGATTCAGTCTTGAGCTGTCACAGCAATCATTCAGTAGTGATTTTTTAAAGTTTTTTATGCCTCTTGTTTTGAATTTTGTTTAAATACTTATATTTTTTTAAAGCAAGAAAAGCTATTTTACTTTAGTAAGTTTATTTTATTTTTATGTATAAGCTTTTAATATTAACTCTCCGAAATTCTAAACTGGAATGCTTATTTTGGTCCAAAAAATGTCATATAACTTTTGTTATCCACAGTTTGAAATAAATTATATCATTGTCATAATCATTGTCATCGACAGATCTACTAAATTCTATTTATAAAAAGTATATTGCTCAAAATTGAGATTAACATCGTAAATTTTCTAGTATTTTACTTATCAAGTCCGAAGACAAAAACATAGATAAAACAAAAGACGAGAAATATTTAAAGTATAAAAATGATTTGAAAAACTTTAAGTATGATGAAAAATTTAAAAACTATCCAGCCTTATTTTCACAAAAGAATAATAGAGATTCTAGAGCTATTATTAGAAATTTTAAGAAAGAAAATCGATCTCAAATCTGTCATGGAAAAACATGTGGCAAATGAAGCACATATAATGAATCTATTCAGCTTACTGATGTTTGATTGGCATGATCAAAGCCCTCACAATCGAAAATATTACCTGATTCAGAAATTCAAAGCATACAAAGAAGTTTGTCCATATTCGAAATCATTATTTGATAAAATATTCCAAATACTTGAATCGAATGAACTGAAAGTTTATCATACAATATGTTTGAAGATTATTTATTATTATTTTGAAGAAATTAGATTAATAAGGGAAAATAGGAAAACTAAAAAGGAAGAGTACAAAACTAAAAAAATGAGCCTGATTTGAAGAAGTTGGATGAAGATATAAAAGAAGAAACGAAATTCATTCAAGAACTAACCCATAAGATTATTGAATTAAAGCAAAATTTTGAATTTAAGATACATATCTTCAAGATTTTTTATGCCTATTTGCCGAAAACAAAAGACAGCGAATACAAAAATATAACAAAACATATACTTGTTGAGGTCTAACATGAATTTAATTATTCTTCTGTTTGCAAAATATCATATGAATCAATTATAAAACATTGTAATAAAAAGTTTTTCAATCTTCTAAATATGTTGAAAGAAAATCTAGTCGCAAAGTTCAAACTTAATTTTGAAGAATTTATCAAGATAAAAAAGAAGTTGTATGGAGAATATTGGATATATGCAATCAAGACCAACGTTAGAATACTTTATCTTACTGCAAAAATGCAAGATTTAGTAGAAACTCAAGAATTCATGTTGATAAATACCCCAAATATAAACATTAAAGTACCAGTTTCGTCAATTTTTGTTGAACTGTCAGAATTTCAGACCATATTTAATGAGCCCCTCAAAGACGACCAAAAATTCATTTTGATAAGCATTTTTATAAATGTATCCTTAAAAACAATTTATTAAGTCAGTTATTTTAAATTTTCCTTCATCCAGAAATATTTGAATGAATTCATTTCTTCATTCCCAGAGTCAAAAAGCTTTAATTTAAGTAATTTCAAAAAGCATTTAAAAAATTCTCCTAAAATTCGAAGAATTTTATTTGGAAGAAAACATTTTAATGATGAAAGCTTATATGAAAAATTCTGGAGTATAAAAATTGACAAAAAAGACTCTGATGAGGAACATGAACTGTTAAACGAGGAAAAGGAAGAAGTATTTTTTGAATGTTTATACCACATTTGGAATGAATTTAGACTATGGGAAAAGCCAGAAGCATTAGCATTGGTAATTTCAGGGACTTTTTGATGCCAGATTTTAGCAGAAAGAACTTCAACAAAAGCACACAGAAAGTGAAGCACTTTATGGTTTATAATTCTTTGTATTATGATCATAGCAAATATTCGAATTCAAGAAGTTTAATAGAATTTCATCTGAATCTCATCGACCGTACAGACAGTTTAGATCCTTACAATTTGTATAAACTTTTTTACATGTTTGAGGAAATTGGATTTCACAGCTCAGAACAATCCGTCAGGAATCCTTTTATAGAAAAGCTCTTCAAAAAAATTAATAATGAAGAACCGAAAAGATATGATGGGAAAAGTGAATTGAAATTACCATGAAAACATTTCTTAATTGGAATTTTAATGATATATTGGAAACAAGAAGCAATTGAGTTAACTAGTAATTTAGTAATCAAGCCGGTTAATAATCAAGAAACATCAGAAAGGAACAACAATGGTACACATCAAAGATTATACTTTGGTCTTTTATCATTGATAATGAATAATAAAGAAAAGGAATTTCTTGATACAGTTTTTAAGGAAATGGAGAACATGGAAAGTACACAACGATCATCAACAACTTGATGATAACAACATTTTTCATTTCTATGAGAAATATTTAACAAATTTCAATTTCGTCCTTCTTTATGCAGCTATGAAGACTAATCAATCGAATATTATTGATGAAATTTTTAAATACAACAATTTTCTTATAAGTTGTCCAACATTTCCAGTAAATATTATTCCTGATGATATTCATTACCATACGATAAAATGTCTCGAAAATAGATATGAATTGGAAAGAAACGATATTCCTGATAATTGGATACGACATCATAATTTCAAAAAATTCTTAGACTCGCGGCTATCATCTCAAGATAATTTTTATGAAATTGATTGTCGCTTCTTGCTGCCATCCTACAATTTTGAAGAGAATAAGACAATTGATTTGCACGAAGAAAATAATGAAGATTTTATTTTTAATGAAGATTATGGATCAATGGAATATATCCTTAATCATCATGGATTGCAATCATTAATTACGCATCCAGTCTTCGAAACTATCATTAATTTGAAAATACAAAAGTATGATCGTATACTCTTTTGGAATTTCTTAGGATTTGTGTTGTTTTATATCATCCCAACAATATTTTTAGCACAAAGACTGCATTCAAATATTTTACCTCCAAATACTAATATATCATGCTACTCAAGTAACTTAACTTTCGAAAATATAATATCGAAGGAGTTTTTAAATAATCAATGGCACCCAGAAAATGATACTGATACTTATACACATACATCTTCATATAGTTATCTCTTTTTACGTCCAAAACGGTTTGCTCAATACTGCCAGATTAATTTACATTTGCTTGCGTGAATTCTTCCAGTATCGAGTGATATACAAGGAAAAATATTTCAAAATGAGTTCAAATTTAGTTGAAATGTTTTTAATTATACTTCCATTATTTTTATACTTTGCATTGGCTGTATTTTCTATTTTCCCGTGAAGAACCGTTCTGTGCGGTTGGATTTATTGAAGCTGTTAATATTCTGGTAATGATTGTTGCAACGGCATTCTTGTGCTCGACTCCAAAATTTTCAGCACATTTAAGGTGTTATAAAAAGATCTTACTATCCTACATGAGGGTCTTTTTGAACTTTTTCCCGCTATTTATGGGACTATCTGGATTAACACTTATTATTTTTGATGATAATCTTGGTGGAACTTATGCAGATTTTCAGCAACTTGGAAGTTCCTTAATGAAGTTAATTGTGATGTATTCAGGAGAAATGGGAATTGACCAAAAAGACATTTCTGAGATTCTCCAGAAAATTACTATTGCACTAATTATAATCATCCTCATCAACAAAGCAAATTTGATCATTTCAATTGCAGCTAATGATATACAGACATTAATGCATGAATCAAGGCAGTTAAGTCTGTCAGATAATGCTGAAAAATATGTAGACTTCGCAGAACAATTTAGGGTGTATTTTGCTAATCATGAGTAAGTAAATTTAAATTACCCAGTTTAACTTTTAATTCCTTTAATATAATTTTTAGAACTGAAGATATGAAAACTGTATTTGTTAAACCTTTGTTGAAGATGATAAAAATTTTTGTTGGAAAATATCCTTATATCCATCAACTCCAAATAATTTATATCGATAAACAAACCCGAGATATTTTTGTTGATACCGACAATCCAATTCATAAATTAACAGCAAATGCATATTTTTTAACAAGATGATTTTATAAATTGTGGATGAACATATTTGGAAGCTTTAAAGTAGATGCAAAAAGTGTTGAAGAAATTCATAACATTTTAATGAAAAAAAGAAGTCGAAATAATTGATTGAGCAAATGTCATCACAATTTTGATAAATCATCATATATGATTAGTGTCTATCGTGTAAAGATTTACATTTTTTCAAACGAATAGTAAAATTTGTATAAATTATTTAATTTTGTTTATTAACATAAAACCGGCAAATTTAAAAATAGAAAAAAAACATGTAATGACAACATTCATTGAGAGCTTAAATATTCTTGTGAGTGTCTCAAAACATTTTCTGAGAATTCAACAAGTGAGAATCAGTATCAAGTCAAACTAGCAATCGTTCACATGTGTTTCTTTAATGACCTTGTGTCGATATATTTATGAACAAATAGCTGAATTTTGGATTGATAATAATTTTTCTTGTAAGTGTTTCTTTTTTATTAACTTTAAAAGTTTTGATAATCTTTATGATCAAATAAAAGATTTTTCTTTTTCAAATGTTTAACGAAACTATGGATTAAGTATAAGCCAAACTCGTCGTACAGACATAAAAATTAGCATATTTTAAATGTATATTTTCAGAAGTGATGATAGAAATTGTTAATGTATTTCTTCAGATGATTCAATTTGCTATATTTAAAAGATCGTGACAAAGTCTTTAAATTTTTAAACAATCAAAACTTGTTTTTAACTGTCGCAAAACGTTCAGAAGATAACATAAGTTATTCTAATTGAACACAGGTTATTCAAATGATCAAGGTTAGCAAGCAAAACTAAAAACCACATAGAAATCAGATGGCCACATAGAGTTTAAATTCGTTTGAATTAAGTGAAAATCACACTGAGGTTAAAGTAAACAAATAAATTTTCCAAAGAAATCTCTTGGAAAATTTAAAAAGTTGAAAATCTCTAGAGTTGCAGGAATTTGGAATGGTTTTTAGAATATTATTAAAGGAAATGAAAATCTTTTCGTAAAAATCTACCCTGTATAATTTCTTTTGCATTTTTTTCATTTTTGAAGTACTTTCTGTTCTTCGAGCTCAGTGAGTCTTTCAATAGTTTGTGGTGAAATTAGTGTACGTTGATAATTTCACAAATTTATTTGTCTTTTCGAAAAATGGAACGTACGTTTGAAAAGCTAGACAAGAATGAGAAAAGTTTTTAATAGGTTTGAAGTCTAAACATCAAAAATGATAAAACAAATCGCAAAGAATTGATAAAAAATATAAAGAACGAAAATGCCATTACAGTGCATAAAGTTTATATTAAAACAATTTTTAAATATGAACAGCAAATTTAAGATCACTAAAACTTAAAAGAATACAAATATTCATAAATAATTCATTATTTATTTCATTTTAGACTGATACTTTAACTGACAAGAAGTAAAAAGAATAAAATGGATTTGGCTATGATTGAAAGGAAAAATGATGTTGAAAACCAACTTCTTAAATCAGAAGAAGAAAAGATACAGAGAATTAGAGAGAAAAAATATTTTAAATACAAAAATGATTTAAAGAGTTTTGAATACAATGAAAATAGCGGACATAAGAATATTTTCAAGATCTATCCAAGTATTTTTTCAAAAAATAAAAAGGATTTAAGCAAGTTTGAAAAAATATTAACATCAAATGAAGATAATTCAGCTATTATTAGTATGGTGCTTAGAAAATTTGAAAACGAGGAATTTTTAAGAAAGAAAATCGATCTCAAATCTGTCATGGAAAAGCATGTGGCAAATGAAGCACATATAATGAATCTATTCAGCTTACTGATGTTTGATTGGCATGATCAAAGAATACATAATCGAAGATATAACTTGATTCAGAAATTCAAAGCATACAAAGAAGTTTGTCCATCTTCGAAATCATTATTTGACAAAATATTTCAGATGTTTGATTCAGAACAACCTAATGGATATCAAAGTATATGTATGAAAATAATCTTTTACTATTTTGAAGAGAAGAAAGTATTAAGTGAAGATAAAAGTAAGGAAGAATTTACTAGTGATATTAAAGGTATTCAAGATTTAATAAGAAAAGTTCTGAACTTAAAAGAATCTGAATATAAAACTCAGATTTTAAAGATTTTTTTTGCCAATCTGCCAAATACAAAAGATAAAGAATACAATAACTTGGTAGATAAAATTAAACACGAAGTAAAATATGATTTTGGATATTCTTCTGTATGCAAGATATCATATGCATCAATAACGAAGCATTGTGATGAAAGGTTCTTCAACCTCTTGTTCTTCTTAAAAGAAAATCTAGTCGTAAGATTTAAACTTGAACTGGAAGATTTTATTGAGATCAACAAGAAGTTTTACGGAGAATTTTGGACAAATGCAATCAAGACTAATGCAAGAATACTTTACCACACAGCCAACAGTCAAGGTTTAATTGAAACTCAAGAGTTTATTTTAATAAGCATGCCTAGTATCGATATTAAATCTCCTGTAGTATCCATTTTTACGGAATTATCAGAATTTTATACTGTATTCAACGAACCATTAGAAGATGATCAAAAATTTATTATTGTAAGTAATTTAATAGCTTTTTTTTTCAATTCACATATATTAAATTATTTTAGAAATACTTGGACACCTTTATTTATAATATGTCCGAGTTTGATGGAATCGATACTAGTAATTTCATAGAATTAATAAAAAATGATGACATAATTCGAAAACTTGTATTTGGAAGAAAAGATTTGAACAGCGAAAGCTTTTTCGAGAAATTTTGGAGTTTAAAGCTTGATGACAAAGATTCTGACAATGAACGATCAGAAGAAGAAATTTATAAAGACGATAAATTTTTAGAATGCGCTCGTCATATTTGGTATGAATTGAGATTATGGGAAAAGCCGGAATTGTTAGTAATGGTAAATTAATTTCGTTAAACATTTTAACATCCCGAATAACTTTGAATTTAATTTTAGAAAAATCCACTTTATAAAAATATATTCAATTATATCCTTGATACCAACAATGACAAACATTTAATGTCCTTTTTAATACCAGCACCAATTCAATTAACAGATAAGCGCAACAAAAGTATGCAGAAACTTAAACATTACATGGTATTAAAGAACTCATTGTTCCACGATTATAATCGATTCAACAATCAGAAATGTTTAATAGATTTTCATTTTAAACTGATCGAGAAGAATATGAAAGAAGATCCATACAATTTAGATAATTTATTCTACATGTTCGAAGAAATTGGCTTTTATAGTTTGGAACAAGAGCACACAAATGATTTCATTAGAGATTTTTTTGAAGAGATCATGAATGAAGATCCTGAAAAGTTTGATGGCCAAAAAGAACTTAAATTACCTAGAAAGCATTTCCTTATAGGCATAATGATGATCTACTGGAAAGAAGAGGGTAAAAATTTGATTGAAAAATTTGAGATTGGGTCACAAACTTCAATAGACGAAAATGATATGTGTCGAAAAAATTTATATTTTGGACTTTTATCTCTGATAATGAACAAGGAAGACAAAACATTTCTTAAAGAATATAAAACAGAATTGAGGAAAATCGAGTATTGCTTTAAGTTTGTTTATAATCTAGACAGCACTTACGAAAGCGATCATCAAAAAACTGACGATGACAACATTTTCCATTTCTATGAGAAATATTCTACAAATTTCAATTTTGTTCTTCTTTATGCAGGTATAAAGACTAATCAGCCAAGAATTATTGACGAAATATTTAAATACAACAACTTCCTTATAAGTTGTCCAACATTTCCAATAAATATGGAACCAGATGAAATACATTATCATACGGCTAAGAAATTCCTTGAGAATAGATATGAGTTGGAAAGAAAAGACCTACCTGATAGTTGGATACGCCATCATAATTTCAAAAAATTCTTGGATTCTCGAATAACTTCACAGAATGATTTTTATAAAGTAGACTGCCGTTTCTTGCTGCCATACTACAATTTTGAAGAGAATAAGACAATTGAACATCATATGGAAGCAGATGAAGAACTTTTACTGAATGAAGATTATGGATCTATGGAGTATATCCTTGAGCATCATGGATTAAAATCTCTAGTCACACATCCAGTTATGGAAACTATCATAAACTTAAAAATACAAAAATACGATCGCATATTATTTTGGAATTTTCTTGGATTTGTTCTGCTTTACATCATTCCAACAATATTTTTGACTTATTTTCTTCATTCAGGAGCTTCATCAGAAAATAAGAATGGCACAAACTCGTCTAGGAATGAGTCTAATGATACTGTCGAGACTAATAGTTTGACAAATAACATAACATTAGATATTAGTGGTATCAACTCAATTTCATCGAATTATATATACGAACACACAATCAATGCAGTTAGACTAGCTTACATTTTCTTTAGAGAATACTTCCAATATTGCGTAGTTTACAAAAAGGATTACTTCAAAAGCAAATCTAATTTAGTCGAAATATTCTTGATTATCCTTCCAATAATCTTATCTATTGGTATAGAAATGTTCAGCTACTTTAATCATCAAGAAATATTTGTATTCGTGGGAATTGTTGAAGCCACAAATATTCTTATTATGATTGTGGCAACAGCACTTTTGTATTCGACACCCAAGTTTTCAGCTCATTTGAGATGCTACAAGAAAATTACATTGTCCTACATGAGTGTCTTCCTGAACTTTTTCCCTCTTTTCATTGGACTTGCTGGATTAACGCTTATATTATTTGATTCAAAAGTTGGTAGTGATGAAACTCAAATGTTTCAGACTCTGGGTGGCTCTATAATGAAGTTGATAGTGATGTATTCAGGAGAGGTAGGAATCGAACCCAATCAAGTCGTGTTTTTTCTTCAAAGAATTACAATAGCATTAATCATAATCATCCTCATCAATAAAGCAAATCTTATCATATCAATAGCAGTCAATGACATACAAACATTAATGCAAGAATCAAGACAATTGAGCGTGATTGACAATGCTGACAAATACGTTGCATTTGCAAAGCAATTGAGAATATTCTACGCAATCAATGAGTGGGTAGTAAAATGAATTTATTAGTTCTATACTAATGACTTTTATTTTCAGCAATGAGATGACAAGAAGCCATTCTACGAGCTTCCTTCTGTGGTTAATCAAAATATTCATAAATAAATATCCATATGTCCATCGCTTACAATTAATTTATATTGATAAATTAACACATAATGTCTTCATAGATGCAGATATACCAGCACAAAAGTTGATAAGTAGCGCATCATTTTGGACTAGATGGTTCGACAAGCTTTGGGTGAGCGTATTTGGGATGTTTAAAGTTAGTTCAGAAAGCATCGAAGAAATTCGTTCAATTGTAGTGGAAACTAAGCATGAGAATAATTTATGCAAATGTAACAATCCTGAAGGAGGATATCACCATGAACGGAACATAAATAATAAGCATGCATATAATTTGATTTCACCATATCTTGAATGATCTTTAATATGACAATATCAGAAATCTGTAAATAAATGAATATGACACTCTTAAAGTCAATTATACTTTTCATAGCTAATTTATTTAAAATAATGTATATATACATTTAATGATTTACTGTAACTTCTTATGAAATGCTCGAATCTTAACCATAAGTTTAAGGAATACAAAACAATAATGTTGATTAAACAATAATTGAAATGAAATGAAGAAATCATAAGTAAGTGAAGTTTCACCATTAAGAGAATATTAACCCGTTCTTTACTAGCGTAACATATATGTTACGCCAACTTTTTCGTAAAATTCTCTTCAGTAATTGATTTTTCATTGAATCTGATTCATGATTTACATTTGTAGCTAGATCAAGTACCTTCCTTAATATTTCTTCTTGCTTAATTATGTAAATTGGAGAAGTTAATTAAAATTTTCTTTTACATGGAAAATTTAGTCATTTTGAAACTCAAAATTTTCACATTTTCTGTCACATTTTTGATCAGGACTGGACAGATTTATAAAGTAAATCATCTATAATTATAGTTAAAAAGACTTTAAAAATAGAATAGCATAGTTAAATACATTAATTATGTGACGATAATAAATGTAACATATATGTAACGCTAGGAAAATACGATATAAATTGCCTGTTACATATATGTAACGCTAGTTTCTTGCAAGTATTTTAGTTTTTCGGATTTAAAATATGATTTAATTAATTAAATTAATTTGGCTTTGAATTAAGCCAAATCATTTTGTGTAGTGCTTAATTATGATAAGAGCGAATTACTATGTGGCAAATATTATAAAAGTAGTGTTTAATTAAAGATTTTTTTACATTTGAAAAAAGTTTGATAAAAAAATTATGAGAAAATTTTAAAGTGATTTTTTAATGATTAATACTGATTTCGCGTGATCCATAGTGCATTGATTAATAAAATAGAGTGTATATAATGAGCTAAGAGAGGTCCAGATGCCAAGAAGTATTTCATTTTAAAGATATGACATAAATTAAAAGGGTAAATAGATTTGAGTTTTTTTAGTTTTCCTATGCATTAACGTATTAAAAATGGGCTCTAATTATGTTTAATAGCATATAGTTAATAATAGAGTATTGCATTATTGGTATAAGCTAGGGAAAAAGGTAAAATAAGAGAATTAAAATTTTTGAAACAAAAAAATTTTTGCTTGCAAAATGCTAGCGTAACATATATGTTACGGAAAAATTTTGTTAATTTTGTTAAACCTGTGCATTAATTCGAGCCAAACTCTTCGTCAAACTTATTTTTATACTACAATTCATCAAATAAATGCACTCTAATGTCCCAAAAAAATTCCGTAATTAACGGGTTAAAATAAAAAAATGTAAGAATTGACAACAATAAGATTATAAAGATTTGATCAGATATTTTTTTAATAGTTTATAGTATAATACATAATTTTTGAAAAAACCCTTCCTTTCGGTGATTCTTAAAGTTGTCTTCATGATCAAAATTTGATGGTTCAACACATTCAGCAGGTGATAATTCTGTCAATTCTTGTTCAGGTTGTGTATTTTGTTCAAATTCTTCATTAACGATTGGCATAGGGGGAGCATGGTATACAAGTCTGTAAATATCACTTTCGGCTGAATTTGTGGATTCATTAGATATTTTTGAATCTTTTGCACTGTTCATATGTTTTGATTTCTTTTCTTTAATTTTATTGTTTTTGCTTTTAGGTGATGTACAGTTCCCATTAATTAGACAATCACGAGTCACTTCTGAACTCATCTTTTTTGGCTTTGATAAAGATTTTCACAACTAAAGTTTTGTAAAACGTTGAGATTAAATTATTTATACACAATAAGCACTGACACTCATTTTATTTATAATGAAATTTAGTGAACAATTACATTAAATATGTCACATAATAAATCCCTTACAGTATTCAAGAAAACTGCGAATATCGAATTGCTGTTAAGTTTTTGTAAACTTTAAATTGTTTTTATATTGAATCTGAAATGATCTCTTATTTGGATATAAGTCAAATACATTTAAATCATTAAAAGCTCAATAAAGTCTCGATTTCACTTAATAAGATAAACTTATAAAAATCTAATTTTTTCTTTAAAAATAATGAGGCATAGGGGGTTAAAAGTCTATTTGAATTGGCATAAAAATACTAAGTTATAACATTAGATTACTCTAAAAAGTGCTTATCAAATTAGATAGTAAACATCTGATCTCAACTTAGTTTTAACTTTGATTTAACTTAGATTTTAAATTCACTTATACACTGCAATAGGAAATAATGGAATTTTATAAAAAGCATCTGAAATTTAGAGCACCGATTGGCCTAATCTATAGCTAATATGATTCACAATGTCTAAATGCTTTATCCTTAATAAAGTTGAAATTAAGTAACAAGCAACTAGCGCATTGAAATTTCACATTATGATACAACATGGACACATTGAAGATTGTTGTACCGTGTCTGGTGAATGTCTTTCTTCTATTCCAACAACTTGTGTATTTTGTTCTCGATTAACACCATTATTAGAATAATCTTTTTGTTGTCCATCAAACTCATCATTATTCGTAAATTTGTTATTTTCTTCTTTCTTGCTAGGAACTTTTGCTGGACTTGATGGGTTCAAAAACTCTTTAATCTTTGATGCCTCTTTTCTATTATTTTTGATATCTACTAAATTTTGATTTTTATTTTTTGAAGAAATTTTTAAAGCTCCATTAAGACACTGATAAGATTCATCAACCATTGAACCTGACATCTTAAAAATTATATTTGTAGTGTTCGGTAATAATAATTCAACTCAAATTAAATGATTTTGTAAGGATAATAAGAACAACGCACAATAATTTTTAATTATTATATCCTGACAAAATCTGAGCTCAGAGAATATTTCACAACATCAAAACTGTATAACATTGATATAAATTATCTTGATGACTCAGACGGAACTATAATTGTTGCCTTTACTTTGTACTTGATAAATTTTTGTATAAAGCAACGATTGGTTTAGAAATAACAATCAATTCTTTAAAATAATAAAATACAGTAGCGTGCAAAAGTGAGTGGACAGAACAAATTTTTTAATAATTTCGTTCAAAAAGTATCTTCCACTAAACGAAATCACTTCAAATTTTCACAGCATATCTAATTTTTGATGAGATTTTATATGCAAAACAAATTTTCTACTATAATTAAGTAATTTGAAAAAACCGTTAAATATTCAAAATTGATAACGTGCAAAAGTGTGGGGACAATTTTCAATGACAAAAAATGTGTTAATAAGTATATACTATTTGACAGCTTGTTACTTGATGGATAATTTTTCTAGTAAACTGAAATTACTTATATAATGTTGTACAAATAAAATGCAATAAATTGATACCAAAAAGTCTTATATATGCAAAGTATTTATCAAGATTTCCACAATTTAATGTTCTCGACTGTGAGAAAATCGACAATGAAAATAATATTTCTATAATTTTTTTGTATAATATCAAAATACCTTTTACTATAATAAACTATGTATGTTCTGAAAGCTTATTGCTTAAAAGTCATTAAAAATAGTAGCCATTTTGAATTTAAGAAAAAATCGAGAAAACACGTGGTTGTGGTTGAAAATTTTTGAACGTAAATTAAGAAAATCGTCAAAACTTTAGATTTCCATCTTTGAAAAAATTTGAAGTGATTTTGTTTACTGGAAGATACTTTTTGAACGAAATTATTAAAAAATTTGTTCTGTCCACTCACTTTTGCACGCTACTGTAATAAAAAATTGCACATTTAAAAGACTATTTATAGATTAGGGGCCGTTCACTTATTACGTTACGCAAAAAAACGACTTTTTTCACCCCTTGTTACAATATGTTACAACTCACACCCCCCCCCCCCCCCCCCCCCCCCTCCCCTGAACGTTCATAATTTATTTTATTTTGAAAGATTTGATTTTAAAAGAGACGACAGTTATAACGTTACATACTTCTTGACACCCCCCCCCCCCCCTTATGTTACAATTTTTTAACCCCCCCCCTCCCCCCTAAAATGCGAACGTAAAAAGTGAATGGCCCCTTAGGTACCTACTCTTTTTCCTACAAAATTGGCAAAATCTAATAAATTGAGCATTTCCAAAATTTAATTTTATTAATTAATAAAAGACACAAAGATTTATAAAAAAATTCACTTTGTTTGAACGAGAACTTGATTTAATTTGTTGACAGCAGTGAAGACTGTATCCCTAAGATTCTCATCCTCAGGACAGCTTACCTCCAAAGTGCTCAAATCAATGTCTATTATCTTTTTGTTCACCGAAACTTTAAGCTGATCACCTTTAAATAGTTTTGGCACAGCATTTTCTCCAAACATTTCCTGTAAAGTTTCAATTATACATTCTTTCAAATGCGCTTGATCAGATTTTGATGCTGAAGATCCTTTGATTGTGCTGCCACATAATTCAGTCTGTAATAAACTTGCGAGGACTGTGTCTGCAAACATGTCATTCACTGGATTTCCAAGCCACTCGAGAATCACAATTTTACCATCAAATGTCAATTCGACGCTATCAAAAACTCGAAACTTTTTATCAGTATCAAGAACTTCGACAGTTCCAGTTCCACCCATTCTCTCAAGCAATAATCTGAGACTGTTTGGAGATCCACTAAATGCTAATGATTGTCTTTGAGTAACAGTGCTCATACTCATGTCTGTATATTTATTGATATCACTTGCATCCAAAATGTGATACTTAAAATCACGTTTAACTAAAATACCAGAGACAGGATCGCCATTTTCAATCTTTTTCGTAGCCAACTTTCCCATAACTTTGGCTGTCTTTTCTCCTTTAAAATAAAGTTCTACAGCATGTGTATTTCTTGGATTATAGAATGTTATATTAGCGTTTGGTTGACTTTCATATTCTCTTTGTAGCGCCGATTTAAGACGACTCATTTCGTTCTGTTCACCATGCACAAGAATTACATGCTGTGGCTTTAATAATCTTATAAATTCGGACGTTTGCTGATAATCTGTGTGAGCTGAAAATGAAATATAGTCAACAGACATGTTTAATGACAATTTTTGACCAGACATTGTTGTTATTTCTTCTGGTTCTGAAAGAATTGTCTTTGCTAAAGTTCCTTCAACGCAATATCCAGCAATAATGACACCATTCTTTGGATCTGTACACCACGATTCAAAAAGTTCACGTGATAATCCACTTTGCATCATTCCAGGTGATGCCATTACAACAGAAGGTCCAATATCATCAAAATGATCGATTCCTTTTAAATTTGAAATGTGTTTAAAGACGAATGGATTATTAACAGCTATTTGTCTTCGAATCTTATCATTCATGCCAAAAATGTAGGTCTGATATACAGCCATACACTTCTTAGCCAATGATGACGCATAATAAATTGGAATTTCTTGTAAATCTGGATTTTGACTCCAAAATTCATCGAGAATCAAAAGTAATTCTTGAGCACGACCTAAAGCAAAAACTGGAATTAAGCATCGACCACCTTGTTGAACAATTTTCTGTACTAATGTTGTAAAACGATTTTCACGATCTTCTCGTTTCTCATGGATGTGAGTTCCATAAGTTGATTCTGTAATTAAGACATCAGGTTTCATTGTTGGAATTTCAGCAGCCATCAAATGTCGATCTTCCTGACGTGAAAAATCTCCAGTATAAAGGATTTTAACACCGGCAATTTCAATCATAAACATAGCTGCTCCTAAAACATGTCCAGCATTATAAGCCCAAAATCTAACGCCAAGAACGTCTCTTTCTTCATGAAAATTAATTGTCTCGATTTTCTCCATACTCGCTTCAAGATCAGCTTCTGAATAAAGCATTTGTTCTGTCGCAATATTACTAACTTTAATGTAATCTGATAACATCCATCTATAAATGGCTTTTGTGGCATGGGTCATAAAACAACGTCCCTTAAAGCTTGTCTTTTGTAAAAACCATGGCAGTGCTCCACAATGATCCAAGTGAAAGCTGTGAAATATTTCCAATTAGCTTAATTAACGTGAGAAATGGATATAAAAGTTTCTTACTGTGAGATAAAAAGTAAATCGATTTCATCAGGCTCAATTAAATCCACGAATGGCAAAGCATCCATTCCAGCCAATCCAGGATGAATTCCTGAGAGCAAAAAACTTTAATTAACATCCTGTTATGCTGTAACATTGTTTTTCTTACCACAATCGAGCATTATCTTTTTTCCTTTGAATTCTAGCATAATACAGCTTCTACCTACTTCCTGTCCAGCACCCAATGGTCTAATAAGCAGGAGATCATTTTCTTCTGCAGGCATTTGACTCTCCTGCTTTCGTTTTGATGCCATTTTTATAAAATTCTTAAATTTTTGTTGAATGTTTTGTTGTTTAATAGCAAATTATCTTCAAGTAAGTCAACAATAAATAGACAAATAAAGAAAATTATAGCAGTCGGATATTCGAATTTGTCGAATAATTCATCAAATATAAACAGCAAAATCTTCAGTCCAAAAAAATTAATTTAACCAAGTTTTTACAGATTTTGAAGACATAAAACAGTGAATTACATTCATTTAATCTCAACTCCTTTTAAATAATCATTAAGTACTGTCAATATGGTGAGTTTTTGCACAATTATGACAATGATTTGCAATTTTTATGAATCGGTTAAGGTTACTTAAAAAATATTTGATGATTTTCAGGATTGTTTACCACTCAAGAATATTGCAAAGATGCCAGAGAGCCTTGACATCCAGTCAGGAAGTATGGGTCCAAATGATAAGGATGTTATGGCTCAATTGAATGTTGCACATCCACTTCAAATTTCCGAACTTAAGGTAAATTTAATTAAACATACAAAGCTTTAATGCTAATCTGATTGTGATAATCATATAGTATCCAGAACAACAATTGAGCTTGAGCAGTCAAATGATTAGAAATCATCATGGAATTGGAGCACAACTTAAATTCATGATGGAATTAAATGCTACAAGCAAAGTCGGTCGAATGCCGTTCCTCCCATCCAGTAATGCATCAAGAGATGCTTTATTAGGACTAGATGAAATGATTACACCATTTGATATCTATGGAAATGCAGAGTTCTCTGAGAAAATGTCACAGCCACATGCAGTTATGGAAAGAAAATTGGGAATGTTGTAAACATTTTATTGGTATTAAGCTAATTCATTTATATTGGATATACTGAAGAATAATAAATATGAAGAAAATGAAAGAAGAAACTATGTTTAAAATAACGGTTGAAAAAAATTTGAAAACCCTGCCAAGACCGTAAAAGAAGTGACCTGAGCAAACTTTAAGTTTCAGTTAAAATCTCACACAAAAGTCATCACATTTTATTAATTAAATAACAAATCAGGTAATATCAGAGGATATTTGTAAAACAATTACTTCATAGACCCGTTAGCGATAAGAGTAAAATGAGAATGAGTCTAGAAGGCAAGGAAGTTGTAAAAAATGGCAAGTCAAGTTCGCCGTTATCAAAATCTGAATATTTTACTCCAGAGACGTCTGATGATGACTTAAGTATGAATCCACTAATTTTGACCAATTAACTGTTACTATATTAATGTTATCCTTATTAATCCACAGATTTAAAGAAGAACTTGAATAAACCGAACAAGCCAAAAAGTGAATTTGAAGGTAGGATCTACAGCTCTTGAGCACTTAATAACTTTATCTGAAATTGTTTAATGTATCAAACATACAACCAATTAGTGATTTATGTTCATTACTTATGATCCAGTCAGTGAAAAGTTTTGCATTTTATCGATTTTTTTAATTCTTGTACAATATTTAAAGCATCCCCGGTTCTACTTCCATATTTTTTTCATCTCAATTCCAATTGTATAATTTAATAATAGTTAAAGTTATTTCAAGTATCAAATGAGAGAATGGAGAAAATATTCAAGTATAATTAATTAAGGATTTTAAAGACATTTTTTCATGCCTTCCCATTCCAATTTATTGAACACACATTCGAGGTCACGTAATTTTTTTCATTCCTCTAATATCCATGTCATTTTGTCTTATTCATAGAAAAAATTCGAGTTGGAAAAGATTATCAAGTTATTGTACCCGAGATGCATAACAAAAATGAAAATAATTATCCTGACAAAGCACTGCTTGTATGGTCACCAGCAAAAGACATTCCCGAAAATAAGCTGGAAGATTATATTGAGCTGGCAAAAGAGAGATATGGATATAATGTTGAGCAGGCACTTGGCATGCTCTTTTGGCATAAACATGACTTACAAAAAGCAGTCATAGACTTGCAAAATTTTACACCTTTTCCAGACGAATGGACCAAGGAAGACAAAATACTATTTGAGCAAGCCTATCAGTTTCATGGAAAATGTTTTCATCGCATCCGACAGATGGTACATAATACATTATAAATTTATTTTCTGGATCTTGAGAATCATTTTATGAACTTATTTTCTTCACAGCTACCTGACAAGTCAATCGCAAGTTTAGTTAAATTTTATTATTCATGGAAGAAGGCAAGAACTCGTTCGAGTACTGAGCGTCATGAACGAAAGAAGCACGATGGGCATTCAGAAAATGGAAGTGAAAACGGAAGTCCAAATGACTCGGATGTCGAAGAAAAGGTAAAGTTCAATAAATTTTCAACTGTTAAAAACAATTCAAATTTTATGTCCAAAAAGTTCAAAATTTGAACTTGAAGATTTAAAATAATTTTAACCGTTGAAGAACCTTTAAACTTAAAACTATTATTAACTGAATCTTTTTTGTGTCAATTTAGAATGACTCTGACAACGAAGTGAAAGAAATGGGTGAGATTGAAGAAATAATTGGAATTAACAATAAGGATAGTTCAGAACAACATAAATCACCGAATAATAAGACTAGTATTATGACTACGAGCGGTAATAGTAAGGCTCATAAACGTAAACATGACGATGATTCTCACGCATATGCTGAGAAGAAGCTTGCAGCTGAAAAAATGATGAGCGACAAGCCAGAAATTACAATCACATTGAAAGCGAAAGAAGTAACTGATGTTGCTTAAATAACATTATATGCTTATTTATTTCGTGTTTCGTATCCTCCTCTTTTATTCTCAGATGAATAATTGTAATAATATTAAATGTTATTAATTAATTTCGTCAATAATGTTTCAAACAGAATTTAGAAATTTAAATTTAAGCAAAAGTCTTGAAGGTTATGATGATAATAAAGAAAAATTTATTCAATATATAAATATACATGCTCGGGTATTTTCATTTAATCATCCAGATATAGTTTTTCCTATTTACTATGCTTATCAGCATTAATATGATTTAATTTCTTTTAACGGTTTTTAAAAATTTGAATTTTTGAGCCCTTGAAACTACAAAAATTTTTGACAGTTGAATTATTAAAAATCCTTATTTTAAGCAGGAATAATTTATTAAAATCATCAAAAAACACTTAATTAAACATATTAAACATTATAAAAGTGAATTTACAAGCTGTTAACACAGTAATAAATCAAAATAAAACAAAGGAAACCAATAAAAATAAGTAGATAAGTCAAAACGTGTGAATATATTAAAAGTGACGTGAACTGAAAGTTGTATGAATGAATTTTTTTAAAGAAAATTTAAATAGCAACTTATTAAAGAGGTAAAATAGTCAATAAATACAGTTAAACTAAAGTTAAAGCATCAGTGCACAAGATTGACATAAAAATATTATCAAAATATCCCGAAAAAGTACAAAAAATCAAAATTTTCTAATTTTTGTTTCGTTGGCAATGTTTTTGTAATAAAATTCCATTTCCAACAGATATTTTTTGTTGTTGCAGCAGTGCTTTTATAAAGGAATTTCATGTAATATTTAACGTCCAGAATATTAGATAGAAGATTACAATAAAGAATGTCTGATCAACAAGATAAGGCTCCTCCAGATTTTAGTAGTTTGTCCGAAAATTTAAGTCAACAGCAAGTAAGTAGCCATTCACAACGGAACAGAATATATATGACGAAAGAGAAAATGAAAATGAAAACAATAATTTGACCTAATTTTTTTGTTTAAGGCTAAGATTTCAGCATTAAAAGAGCTTGTAAGGCAATCGGAACATCAACATGGCAAAAATACAGCATCAGCACAGGAAAAGGTCAAAAACATTGCTCAAAGATTGTCTAATCTTAAATCTAAAGCAACACGATCAAAAATCAATCGATCAACATCAGAAATGAGTGAGGATTTAAGTATGTCGCATATTGAGGAAGAAGAACAAGATCCATTAAACATTCCATCATCTTCACAATCGCGAGCACGTTCAGAGACACCAGGAAGTGAAAAGATTTCATTGTTAAGGAAACAAATGGAATTAAATCGTATGAAAATGGCAGAACGTGAAAATAAGTCTAAAGAAATTGAGCAAATGGTTACCAATCTTCGATCCAAATTTGAGACATCCCAAATGTCATTAGAGAGAAGTGTTGAGCTTGGTAGAAGTATGGGCGATTTATCAGGCATTGGTTCAGTACCATCAATGATTTTACAATCACAAAATCGTTCATTTACTTTTTCGGATGTATCTCAACAACAGCAGCAGCAATCGTCACAACAACCAGTCAATTTTGAAAACGAACGAATTAAATTCCTTGAAAAACGAACTCGTGATCTCGAGACAGAATTAATTAATAAAGAGAATATAACAGAATCGGATGTAATTCAAAATTTAGAGACTAAAATTTTGGATTTGGAGGAAAATGTAAGGGAAAAAGAGAGTTTAATTGAAGCACGAACCAAAGCTGTAACATTACTAACAGAAAATTTATCAAAAAAGAAAAAAGATGTTGTTGATAGTTTAGAAGAGACAAAAGTTGAAATGTTTAAAATGCAAGAAACGTTCCTTGATGCCGAGTTGACCTATAAAAAAGAAGTGTCTAAGTTAAATCGTGTGATAACGGTAAAGTCTGATGAAATTAAGAATCTTAATGAAAAGTGTGAAATTTTAGAAAAGTCACGTTATGATTTAACATTGGAAAATTCGGACCTTAAATCAAAATTGGAGGATGTACAAGACTATAGTACAAAAATCAGTGAATTAAATAAACTTAATGAAACACTACAAAAGCGCATTTCGACATTAGAAAGTCAAAAATATGAATTTATTACCGCAGAGGAAATTGGCGAGGCTAAAAGTGCCGAAGAGAAAAAAGACAGCGAAAAACTATCAAATCTCGATGAGCTTGTGCAAAAATTAAAGGATTTAGAAGAATTAATAAAGGAGAAAAATGAAGAAATTGAAAAGCTACAGGAAGATTTACAAGAGAAAACAATAGAAGTTACTGTTGTCAATGCCAATATGACTGTTTTACAAGACAAATTCAATACATTAAGCTCCAAACCTTTATTCTCAGACACATCAAATGTCAGCGAAGAATCGCATGCAGAACTCGCCAAACTTAAACAACAACTCGATGAATCTAACAAAAATATGATTAAAACTAAATTAAAGATGAAACAAATGCAGAAACAAATTGATTCAGCACAAAAGTCATCAGATAATAATCAAGAAATTAAGCGTTTGAATGAAGAGATTCAGACACTAACGCAAAAAGTCGCAGAATTGGAAGAAGAGAAAGGAAGTTACCAATTACAACTAGTCGGAAAGGATAAGGATGATTTGGAAACGAAATTAAAGGTTGAATAAATTTCTTATACTAATATTTATCATCTTCATTTTCAAAAATCATCTTAAAAACCATACAAAAGTTCTTCTTCCTCTTTATCTTTATTAAGGTCCTTTTTTAACCATACAAAAGTTCTCAAATTTAACGGACATTTAAAATTTAAATTATATAACCTCACAAATTGTGATTAGAGTACATTTATAGGGAGTTTTCTCCCAACCTCCGAATGAGGAGGTTGTGGAATTGTGCAATACTTCAAAATTAATTAATTACGCGTAGGAATAAGTCACAAACCTACGGGAACTGTCTTCAAAGTAACAAAGAACAAAGATAGCAAAGTCGCGATTTAATTAAATTTTGGATATAAATTGAAATTGGAAAAAAATATGTAAATTTTGCACATAATCTAGATAAAACGGAATTGATCATCATCGGAATACCAAAGAATATTTAATTACATTTACAAATCACGATCGATTCAAATGTTTAAGAACCGTATAAATTAAGTTGTATGGTTCTAATTTAACATTTATATGGTTTTGAAACATTTTGCATTTGTATGGTTACAAATTTAGATTTTTTCTAGCATTCAAATTTAAAATATCCGTTAATTATCCAAATAAAATTCTAATAATGCAAAAATATATTTTATAGATGCTGGAGACGACTTATCAAAACCAGACTTCAGCAATGCAATTATTAGAAGAGCAAAAAATGGAAATAAGTGAGGATTTAAAGCATGCAAAACAGGAAATAGAGACAATAAGGAATGACTTGAAAGTTGAAGATTTAGAGAAGAAAATTAAGGAACTGGAAGAAAATATTAATAAAATTACTGAGGAAAAAGAGGAAATTAACATAAAAATGAACAGATATTTGAATGAAAACATGGAACTGCTTGATAAACTTGAAAAGTTAAGCAAAGGAAGTTCAGCTGAAAGCATCGAAATGGTTAATTTATTGACAGCTCAAGAGAAATTAGAGATCGAAGAGTATCATCAAGAAAATAGTCATAAAGACGAGGAAGTTCCAGCAGAAATAAGTCAGGAACTGAATGATAGCTTACGAAGTTTGAGACTTGAAAGCTCGGAATTAATGGAGAAGATTGAACTTTTCACAATTGAAAGACGTGAAGTTTTAGAGAAGCTTGATGCATTAACAATTGAAAATCAAGTTTTGTCAGGAAATCTTGAACATATTCGTGAGGAAAAAGAAGCTTTAGAGAAGCAAATCGAAGATAATTTAATAGAAAAAGAAGAATTTGCGAAACTTTTAACTGATTTAAAATCAGAAAAGGAGGATATGAATCATAAATTGTCAGAACTTTCCGAACATCGTACAAAATTGCAGGAAGAAATCAATAAATTAGTAAAAGATGAATTAAGTTCAATTTCTCCACACAGTTCACCATTAAAAACAGTAGAAAATCGTGACACCAACCAATCAGACAGTCCAAAAGAACCAATAGCTTCAACATTTGACAAAGAAGCATGTGAAAAGCTTTTAAAACAACTCGATTCAGAAATCCAAAATTTAAATAAAAATAAGGATAAAAATCAGAAATTGAAAATTTCTAAAAAGCTATCAGATAATGCCAAGAATGTCCATGCAATGATGACAAATTTGTTAATAGAATTTTATAAAAATCTTGATGACTGTAAGCAATTACGAGAAGACTTGGAGAAAGTTAAAATTTTATTAAATAATGTAAGTAGTGATAAAAATAATGAAGAAGTGCTTAATCTTCAAAAGCTTTTAAATGAAAATCATGAAAAATTAGTCATTAAAAATGCAGAGTGTGAAGAATTGCAAAATAAGCTTAAAGAGCTACAACAATCAAGTCAGGAAGCTTTTATTTTAAAAATTGAGAGTGCAAAATCAGAACTACAAGATCAAATGAGCAGGAAAGATGATATTATTGCAAGTTTACAGGACACAATTGATATTCTCACGAATGAACGTGATCATTGCGAGTCAGAAGTTCAGAAACAAATGTCACTCGTGTCTGATTTAAGGAAAGAATTTGATCAACTTTGTGCTGACGTAAAAGTAAATAATCAGCGATTAAATGAGAAATCAAAGGAACTAGATGAATTACAGCATGAATTTGATATTCGATTAAAAACATCCACAAATGAGGTAAGAAGCTAGAAACTTAAAAATCTACTCAAATCTATAAAATCAAAATAAATAATTTTCCAACTTATTTTTAAATCTAATTATATCGTTGCAGGTTGAAATCCTTAAGACACTCGTGGCTGAACAGAAGGAACTGCTTATTAATTCTTATCAGGAACATGAGCTTGATATTAATCAGAAATTAGCGGAAATTGATGATTATCAGAATCAAATTAAGCAATTAACAAATGAGCTTCACGAATTAAGGACACATAATATTGCTGATCAAGAATCTTTAATTAATGAGCTTCAAGCTGATATTAAAAAACTTAAAGATAGTTTGAATGAATGTAATCGTGAAATTGAAAGTCAAAAGGATGAATTGCTTCACAAACAAGAAACTATTGACACACTTAATACACAAATTATTGACCTTTACAAAACAATGGAAGAAAACTCAAACAAGTTATTGGAGAAAGAAGATGAAATGCAATACATACAAGAAATTTCTGACAGTAATCGTGACGAGGTCCGTAAAGCACATGAGAAGCTTTCAATGGCCGAGAAAAAAATCAATGATTTGAGGGAGAAATTGTCAAGTAAAATAAATGAAGTTGAATTACTTCAACACAAATCGGTTCCAACAGATGATCCAGAAAGAATTAAACAACTTGAAGCTGAAATTCAGTCTATGGATGCTAAAAATAAGGAAATTCATGATAAATTAAAGAAATATGCAGCAAGTTTAAAGAAAAAACAAGCTCAGTGCAGTGAGTTGGAAGAAAAGGTAGCAAAAAGTTCAATTGTAAGTCTCGATCCAGCAGAATTCAATGAATTAAAGGCTAAAGTTATTCAGTATGAAGAACAACTTAGTAATATTAAAGTTGAGAATAATAAACTTAATGAAAGCATCCAAAAATCAGCAAAACAAGATGAAATTGATGATTTAAAATGGAAACTTGATGAATATGAAGAAATTGTTGGCAATAAGATGAAGGAAATAGAAAGTTTGAAAGCTCAGTTGCAAGAACTTTCCGGAAAATGTGACCAAGTTGAGGAAAATTCATATGAATTACAGTCACAAATTCAGAGCTTAGAAGCTGAAAAATCTAAATTGGAAGCTAATGGCGCTGTAATTGAAAGATTATCAAAAGAACTGGAAGATGTGAAGAAAGAGAAACAAGAAATTAATCAAAAATTGCAGGAAGCAGACTCCAATAAGGACGATAAGAAAAAAGTGAGTTTCAACGGTTTAAAATAATTTAAATTTTTTAAGTTCAAAAAAAAAGATAAGAAATTCAAAATTTTAAAAACTGTTTAAAATTTAAAAACTTAAAATACGGTACTAATTTTTTTCAAAATTTTCGATTTTCAGATGGATAAATTAAAAGCAGCTGTTGTGCAATTAAAGCATAAATTAGCAGATAAAAAGAAAGAAGCAGAGGATTTGTCAACAGAACTTGCCAATTTGAAAGAATCATCTGAAAAAACAAACATCCAGGAAGTTGAGGAATTGAAAAAACAAATCAACGAATTAGACGTAATGAATGAAAAGATTCTTCAAGAAACTAAGGTTGCTTATGATAATGACATTGGAATGTTGAGACAAAAGATCGAAGAACTTGAGTCATCAAATCGAGTGCTTATGGAAGAAAAACAACGAAAAGTATCGCTTGAAGGTCAACTAGAAACATTCGAAATGACAAACATTGAACTACGTGAAAAGGTCGCAAGATTAGAGGAAGCAGTTGCATCGATTGATGCCGAAAAGAATGCATTGATTCGTGAAAAACTTATACTTGATAGAGAACTAGAAGAAAAGGTAAATGAACTTGCATGCATTGATGACAAATACACGCAGTATGTTAATAATTTAATTCAACAGGACGAAATTATCGGAAAGAAATTGCATGAAACGGAAGCAGATAATTGTAATATGAACGAGACAATTAAGGAATTGAATGATGAGAGAAACTTAATGCTACAAAAGATGAGTGCTATGGAGCAGCAAATATCAAATGATGCCCAAAATTACAGCCAACAAATAGCTAGTAAAGAATCAAGTAATAATCAGCTACAAAATCTAATAGAACAGCTTCAACATGATATAAAGAAACTTCATGCAACTCATGAGCAAGCTTTAGCAACAAAACATGCAGAAATTGATGAAATGGAAGGACAATTTAGTCAACAGCTCCAAAAGATTGAATCTGAAAAGAAAACGGCACAAGAAGGTTTAGAAAAAGCTAATGATCAGATCGTTGACTTTCAAGATGAAGTTGTAAGACTTAAAGATAATGTTCATTCTCTAGAAAATGTACGCGCTGATTTAGAACGTGAAATGTCATGGTTGAAGCTTCAAAATGACAACTATACACAAGACCAACTTGAAAATGAACAGCTAAGAATGCAGTTAATGCAAAGTGAAACGGAATTAGAAAATCTACGAGCACAAAGTGAAAATATAACATCAAATCATGATGCTGAGATTCTAATACTTCGTCATCAAATTTCTGATTTGGAAGCAATGAGATCACAAGTGAGTCAGAACCAAACTGACGATCAGGTTATGCTGCAAAATGAAAATGTCAAATTAAAGGAACTTCTTATTGAAAAAGAAAATGAGCTCCAACAAAAAGCAATTCAGCTTCAAATGGCGACAGTTTTTGATGCTCCTGTTAAGGCCGTTCACGATCCATTCTCGAATTTGTCAGCAGCTCCACCAAGTAGTTCCAAGAACCAAGAAGATAAATTAAAGCATGCAAATGATGAACTTGATAAATTGAGAGAATCACAAATGATGACAAATATGGAGTTAGATATGCAGTCTGGAAAGATACAAGAACTTCTTCATGAAAATAAAAAGTTGCAGGTAAGAAACACAAAACTAATACTCAGAACTAATATGTATCTCTACTATATATCTCCTAAATGCTGAGTGCGTGATGAATTTTTAAATTATTTATGACCGTTTTTCCCCCAAAATTCTGAGAAAATTTCGGCTAAAACTTAATGAGTTTTTACCGAGTTGGTTTTTTGCATTTGTGAAGTATATAATTTCATACAAAAATTATAACTTAAAACTTTTTTACAATTCTCGATTCAAACTATGCTTTTTTCCAGAGGACGAAGTCGACTCGAAATTTGTATGAAGTCGAGTGAACTCAAGTCGACTTTTCCATACAAAATCCGAGTCGACTTCGCCCTCTGCTTTTTTCTCAACAGGAACGATTTTAAAGCTATTCCAAGTATAATAACGGATGTAATAGATTTTGAGCATAGAAATAATTTGTACGGTTCTAACTGAAATATTTTTTGACCAAATTTTTTCTTCTTCGTCTTGAGCTTCTGTCTGAATAGAGACTTTTTATGCAAATTTCATTGGAATTACATTGAACTACAGTTTTGATTGTAGCCATATTTACATGAAATAGAAGGAAATTGTACGGTTCTGAAAGTTGAAATTATAATTTATTTAGAATTGAAAAACCTTTGTCTCAAAAAAACCATTTTCAATTATTTTTATGGAGAGTTTTGGTTTTACACTGAACGGGCCCGCTATGGGCCCATAACCACTAGTTTTAAAACATTATAATTAAAATCTAATTTAAATATATTTGTGCAATCCAGGAAAAAGTCCACGAAATGCAGTCAATGATGGATAATTTAATAAGAACAAATGTCGAGTTAGAGTCAGTCACTGAAAGACAAAAGGACGACATCGGTAGAAAAGATAAAGAAATAAATGAAATTAAGAACGAAATGAGTGCTTTAAGAGATCATTTTAATCAATCTACGCAATCAACAGATGATGATAAATTCCAGAATCTAGAAAGTGAGCTAGCTGAGAAGAATCACGCGATTGAAAACCTCCAAAAGATTTTACAAAAGTATGAATCAAGTGCCCCCATTCCACAGACTTCCACATTAGTACCACCAACTTCCATACCACAGCAGCAAACTCTTTCTACGTCAATGTTCTTTAGTGATCCACAAACATCGACTTCATCACTATTTGATGATCCATTTATGGCAGTTCTCCCAGTCGTTGAGGAAGAGATTAAGCCTAAGAAAGCATATTTATTGTACGATTCTAAGAATAACAATGAAACACAAACAGAAGAATGCTGGCTCATTGAATTTAATGAAAATGTAAATAAACTTATTATTTTACAAAATCAGCTTCAAATGATGGAAGAGAAAATTATGGAACAATATGTAGAGTTAGAAACTCAACGAACGCGAATTTGTGAGCTTGAAGAAAACCAAAAAGTTCATGTGCCACAAATGGTATCACAAGAAGCTGAAATAGTTCCAATTAAGGCTTACTTATGCTTTGATCATGTAGAAACTCAAACTGAGACTCAGTGGGCATGTGAATATGCTGGAAAAATTGAGGAATTAGAGAGTCAAATAAAGGTAATGGAAGTTGAAGCTATTGAACAAAAAAATATTCAGCAACAACTTCAACAGCCCCAAAATACATCTCATCTATTTGAAAGTAGTCCACAAGGAGACATTGCAGCTTTAGAAATCGAAGATGGTTGGGGATGGGGTGGTGATAATGTCGCTGTAGAAGTTCCACAAACTACAGCAAGTTTATTATCCCCAAGATCAGATTTGGAAGTGAGACTTCAAGAGCAGAAAGACATTGTTGAGAAGCTTGAGCAGGAAAATACAGCATTAAATGATGAATTACATAAAGTCCAGGAAAATTTTAAGAAAATGATGAAAAAGTTGAAAGAATATCAACAGAAAATTAAGGAACTGGAAGCTGCAAGACGTGGATCATCTGTAGAGCCAAATGACATGGACCTAGTCATACAAGAAGAATTAAATTCACAAGTACGGAAGCTAGAAGCTAAATTAAAAGAAATAAATACAGAAAAAGAAAAGGAACAGCAGGAAAAAGATTCACTTTTAAAGAAAATTGAAGTCCTTTCAAATGCAAATGATAGAATGCTTGAAATGAAAGAACGACAAGATAGTCATATGGAAATGTACCAACTTAAAATTAAAGATTTATCCCAGAAACTCCATGATTTAGAGGAATGGACAGAAGAGAGTCAAAAACCAGTCCAACAAATATCCAGCACATCATCAGCGAATGAAAATGAATTAAATAAAAAGATTGAGGAACTTAATGACCAAATTAAGGACATGCAAGTCGATTATGATGAGCTGCAAGCTTTATTGGACGAAGAAAAGAACAATAATAAAATTTTGGAAGAAAGAATTGCCAAAATCAATAATGACAATTCTAAAGACGACGAAATTGAAAAATTGACGCAAGACCTTCAATCTAGTCGTAAACAATGCGATAAACTATCAAATGACATTCATGTTAAAAATGGAGAGATTAAGGAATTAATAAATAAATTGGATCTATTATCAAACGAGTCAGTAAACATTCGAGTCTTCCTTGACGACCTTAAAACGCAGGTTGAGGAAAAAACAAACGAAAATGAGCAGTTAAATGATCGACTAAAGAAATTGGAAGTAAATAATGATGACTTATCAAGTCTGTATAGTCAGTCAATTGAACAGAATTATCGTCAACAAATTCATGAATTTGAGGTCAAAGTTCAAAACTTACTCGGCGAAATTGACTTTAAATCAGCACAAAATGAGCATCAAAGTGCGAGAATAGATGAATTGTCACATAAAATAAACCAATTGGAATCAAGTCTTAATGGAAAAGATCATGAAGTAAGTCAACTAAAAGACCAATTAACGAATATCCATCAAACATCAGAAAATGTTCCAGTTGACCATCAAAATGAAAGAATTAGTCAATTGGAAAAATTAAATGAGGAATTAATGAGGGAAAAATCATTTATGGAGCATGAATTGCAAGTTCTTAATGATCAAGTTCTGTCTGGTTTAGAATTTGAGGATAGAATGAAAAATACAGTCCTGGATCTTGATGCGAAAAATATTGAAATTCAAATGCTTAAAGCTACTCTCGATAAATTCCATTCAAGTGAAAATGATCAACAAAAAAAACAAATCGATGAAAATGATGAAGAAATCGAAAGGTTGCGTCATGAAAAGGAAGAATTGGAAAGAAGCATGAAATCATCAATTGACTTACTTAATGCTCAATGGTCACAGGTTGTTGAACAGCGTGGAAATGAAGTGGCTAAAAGTTGGAAACAACATTTGGAAATGCGTGAGGCTGAATTTGCTGAAATTGAGACAAATCTTCGTAAACAATTGGAAATAATGTCACCAATAGAAGATCCAACAAATAATAATGAAGCACTGCTGAAAATGAGATCAATTATGGAAAGTCAAGAAGTTGAAATTGTGTCATTAAAAGAACAATTGGCAATTAGATCAGCTGAATATGCATCATTATCAGCCAGAGTCGATCCGTACCATCAAATGTCATCATCGATGAATGTTTCGCCAATTTCATCACCAGATTCTGATAAAGTACCTAGAAGTGAATTAGATTTAGCGCTATATATGTTGCATCAACGAGATATGCGACTTGAGGAAATGACAATGGAACTTGTAAGACTTCTCGAAGAGCGCGATCAGTTACAATTACGGCTATCAAATGCCATTCGTCAACTTGAGGATATAAAGAAGAAAGTGAATTTAGATGCGGGAGAATCGAGTGACCAATCAACGCCAGAAAAATCTCCACCAGTTTTGAATGTTGGCGATGATCAGTTACAAGCTAAATTGACGGAATTAAATACAGTTCGACACGCTCGAGATAAAGTTTTTGCAGACGAAAGTGAAAAGAGATTTATGGAGCACATGTCATTGTTTCAAAGAGATGTAGCAAATATTCCACCGGAAGCTGCTGCCCGAATTGTGGCTGGTAAGAAGAATTTATGGTATTTATAATTTTTTTATTTATTTCTCTTTTCATTTCCCGAAATTCAGGTTCTGACCAAAATCAGCAATCGCCGTCATCTGTATTAATGAACTGGATTCTTGGCAAAAAACCAGAATCATCATAAATTAATTAACAGCTTCAAAAAATGCCTAATTCGATAATTAATTTGATTTGTTCATTTTGTATGTTTATAAAAACCTATAAAAATTATTATGTTCTGTTAAATGTTTATCTATAATTAATTATGCCTTCATTGATTTTCCACTGTTCAGTTATTATAGTTTTGTATAATATTTAAAATTCCAATGTTTTTTTTTGGTTTTTGTAAATCAAAGTCATTCAAAAGTGTTTATGTTGTAAGGCAGGTGCATTAGACAAAACAAGAGAATCAATAAAAGAATAATATCTAATTTTATTAATTTGACATCATCAATTTTCGTTGATTTGTTTTGTCATTGGGTGAATTGATTTATTTTTCAGATTGATTAAATTCGTTATTGCACGCTTTTTTAAAACTATTAAAATTCAAATTTTTGAAATTCCAACGTCTTCATAAAATTTGAATTTTTGGTTCAAAATTTGAACTTCTGCAAAAATTTAAAAGTCCAATATACGTTGCATTTTCAAAAAAAGGGTTAATTAAATATTAAAGCAAGCTAGACTTTTTTAATTGATTTTAGATATAATCCTACAAAATTAATCAACTTAATAGTCAAGTAAATGAGAATTAAGCATTAAAATATGTTTAATTAAAAGAATAAACCAGTTGAGATCGTAACGGTTTGAAATTCAAAAAACAAGATCAAATTAAGTGCGAGTGGTGAGAAAGTTGCTAGGCTTCGACGTTTTTTAAAGGATTTTTGCTCAAAATTATTTTTTCAATCATTAATCCAAATATTATGATTTAAGTACGAAAAGGAGATGATATATTAGCTGTTGTAGCTTTTTAAGGATCGTAAACATCATTGCTGGATGATGTTTCGTGACTTGTTAAATTTCATTTTCATTTGTGTTTGTAAACAAACAAATTACAACCAAAAAACGTCAAAATAATTAAAATCGTTAATTTTATTCATTTAAGTATGCAAAAAGGATCTACAACTAAAAAATATGATTTCATGATAATATCAATCAATATAAATAAAGATATAGCGAAATTCTGAAAAATTGTACATGAGTGACGCTTAATTAAAGTGGTTTTCTATAGTATCTGTAAACTTTCAAATGATCTTTTTTAAAAAATAATTTTAGAATTCATCACTTGTAAGCATAACAAAAAATTCAAGAAATACAAAGCGTCACTCACGTACAATTTGTTTGTGACGAGGCCCTGATTTATTTTTCGTACATCTACAATGATACAGTTTTAATTAAAATACAAAACTGCAAAAATGCAGCCAATTTATAAAAGTAATCCACACGACGATTACGAGTTAATACAAAAAATAGGCTCGGGGACATATGGGGATGTGTATAAAGTGAGTAGAAAGTGAAATTTTTCGAAATTCTTAAAATCTCGTCGAGAACAATCCCATTTTTCTATGACTAAAAAATTTTTTATGCTGAATATAGGGCAGGAACATACAATCAGGGGAATATGCAGCTATTAAAGTCATAAAAATAGAATCGGGAGATGACTTTCAGCAAATTGAACAAGAAATAACTATGCTCAAAGCATGTAATCACAAAAACATTATCAGGTGAGTTGAAAAATCAAATATTAATAAGGAAATGAAACATCCAGCTAGAGAAAACTGTATGAATATATATATTTTTATTTTCTTGCTGTATGTTTCGCATAAAAAAAATAATAAGTGAAAAGTTGGTATTACTCAAAATATTATTTTATTGAAGGGCAAAAATGAAATTAATGAACTAATAATGGCTTATGCATGCAATTTGTTTCAGTTATTATGGCTCATATTTAAGGCGAGACAGATTATGGATTTGTATGGAATTATGTGCGATCAGTCTGCAAGACATTTATCAAGTAATTGGTCCATGTACAGAACAGCAGATAGCATATGTATGTCGAGAGACACTTTTAGGATTGCAATATTTGCATAACCGTGGGAAAATGCATCGAGATATTAAAGGTGCAAATATACTCCTTACTGATAATGGTGATGTCAAGCTCGCTGATTTTGGTGTTTCGGCTCAAATTACGGCTACAATTAATAAAAGAAAAAGTTTCATTGGAACGGTAAGTTATATACGGCAGCAATATTGCGTTTCTCGTGGAAAATGATAATACCTAGTTCTTCTTATTACCTCTCAAATGTTGTTTTTTTTTGCGCAACAGAAGCATATCAAAATACATTTTCTACTAAACTTAATTAAACAAGGCTTTTCAATCGTTAGCTTTACATTTTAAAATTTAACGGTTACATTACATTTTGAAAAATTTTAAATCAAAATTTGAACTTTCAAGTTTAACTCCAATTTTTGAATTAAAAAAATACGGTAAAAACAGAAAGTTTTAAAAACAATTTTTTCTCTATTTCTCAACTACCAGCCTTACTGGATGGCTCCAGAAGTTGCGGCTGTAGAGAGGAAGGGCGGATATAATCACCTGTGTGATATATGGGCTGTCGGAATCACCGCAATAGGTAAATCTCTCGTTATCTGATTCAAAAAATCTCCATAAATTCTAATTGGATTATTTTTAATACCTTTACAAAAAAAAATAAATAGAACTTGCCGAATTACAACCCCCAATGTTTGATCTACATCCGATGCGAGCATTATTTTTAATGTCAAAAAGCGGATTTAAACCACCGACGTTAAAAGAAAAAGAACTTTGGTCCCCAATTTTTCATTCCTTTGTTAAGATTTCACTGACGAAAAATCCAAAAAAGCGACCGAATGCTGAGCGACTTCTTCAACATCCGTTTGTTAATGGTGGTGGTGCTGGAACAGGCGAAATGTCTGTACGATTAATGAGAGAATTACTTCATAAATATCAGAATCCTCACCATTTAAATGATCATGATATGGATGATGAAGGTGCTGTTGGATTTTCATCCGTTCCAAAACGCATTCCAAGTAAAATGGGAACCGTACAACGAGCACGTTCCAATCAAAAGTCTGGAGAAAGTAGTAGCAGTAGCTCAAAGTTAATGGTTACCAATCACAATTTAAATAATAATAACAATAATAATAGTAATAATAATAGTACCGATTCACAACTATCACCTCCTGAGACTCTACCCAGCGAAATGAGTTTATCGAGTTACATGGATGCTCAATGGGATCGAGTGACATTAAAGCACCAACATGGAAGGAACTGTAGTCATAATAGTAAAGAGGAATCATCAAAAAAAGCTGAATCTTCGACATCTTTAACTCAAGTCACAGACGAATCGCCCAAGCGTCATAATTCAATGGATCGATTAGTTGGAATGTTTAGTGATCTTAGTTCCCCTGCAAATCGTCAACGAAGTTTAAGTGATAGTGAACAACAACAACCCGACATTCTAAATAATTTAAATAATACTCCTCCTGTGCCTCCCAAACGTAATAAACGTCACCGATCTCCACCATTCCACCATCCAGTCTCAAACGGCTTACCGCCTACTCCAAAGGTCAGCATATTAATCTTCTCTTAATTGACCTATTTTAATTTTTTTGTAATTCTTTACTTTTCATTGTCACATCAGGTCTTAATGGGAGCATGTTTCTCAAAAGTATTTAATGGGTGTCCACTTCATATCAATTGCACAACATCATGGATAAATCCTGAAACTCGTGATCAGCATATCATAATTGGCGCTGAAGAGGGAATTTTTACACTTAATATGAATGAAATTCATGATGCTGTTATAGATCAAATTTATCCACGTAAAACAATATGGCTTTATGTAATTAAGGATGTATTGATGAGCTTAAGTGGCAAGTCAAGTCAATTATATCGTCACGATCTGGTGGCTCTTCATTCCAAGCAAGCAACAAGTCGATTTACATTACAATTGCACATGCAAAGAATACCAGAGTAAGTAGCTTTTTTTTCTTTGTGTCAGTTTTACTTTTTATGGAACGGATATTCGGTTTGCTTTGTGTCAATTTGTGGGTTTGTTTTTGGATTAATTGCGATGTTGAAACTTCTGATGTGAAATACGCGTTATTAAAAACAGCTATAATTTGAATTTTTGAAAACCGTTAAAATTCAAATCTAAAGTGACGGTTTATTTTGATTTTGCTATGAATTATGATAACGAGAAAAAGGAAGAGACCGTTCACTTATTACGTTCGCATTTTAGGGGGGGTTGAAAAATTGTAACAAAATGTAACATAGGAGGGGGGTCAAGAAGTATGAAAGTAAAAAAAAGTAAATCAAGATAAAATAAATTATGAACGTTGGGGGGGTCTGTGAGTTGTAACATATTGGGGGGGGGGGGGTGAAAAAAAGTCGTTTTTTTGCCTAACGTAATAAGTGAACGGTCCCGAACTCAAAAATGGCTAATTGATGTTTCATTTCAAACTGAATTTGGTGGATTATTTGCTTAGCTTATCAATTTACTTTCTTATCTTCATTTCTACGCAGAAAACTTGTCCCGCGAAAATTTGCTCTAACTACAAAAGTACCAGATACAAAAGGATGCTTACAGTGCTGTGTTATAAGAAATCCTTACAATGGATATAAATATTTATGTGGTCGTGTTTCATCTGGCATATTTCTAATGCAGTGGTATGGTGAGTAATCCAAACTGACTTACTAATGAGAATTGAACTCATAAAAAGTTGAAAAGAATCTTTTTCCTTCCCATTGTTTATATAAAAGATACTTTTATTATATTCACAATTTTTTATTTTTTTAGATCCATTAAACAAATTCATGTTATTAAAGCAATGTGATTGGCCTCCTTCATCACACAATTGTTCGATCATTAACGATAATTCAGTATTTGAGATGATCATTCTTCCTGAATTAGAGTATCCGTTGGTCTGTGTGGGAGTGTCAAAATCATTCGGTGGAAACGGATTGAAGCTTGAATTAATCAATACGAATAGTGGTACGATGAAAATTGATTTTTAATGAGTTCCATGTGCATGTCTCTTTTGACTCTGTTTACATGATATAAAAAGTTTTTTGATTGAGACTATGAAGCACAAGACGAGTCAACTTTCATGTCATTTAAATGATTGTTTATGAGCAAAAAAAAAACTTGCACATTAGTCATTTAAAAACGCCTACAATCACTATTATTAAATTAATTTTGTGTGATAACTTGTTTTTATTCACTCAGCCGCTGGTTGGTTTAACTTATCGTACGATGATGATTTCTCTGATATGGATAGGACAGCAACAATGATTCCAAAACGACTTCCCCTAAAAATAGCAAAAGTTCACCAGGTAAGTTGTTGTTTTATGGGGTTTGAGGTGATGGAAATATATAACTGTCAAAACATATTTGAAAAAAAAACTGGCAAAAAATATTTGAAATTTACCGTACGTAAGTCAGAGCTGCGAAACAGGCACCTGTGACAGGTGAGAACCCTACAATTCCTTGATAATTTATAAGGTTTTTCTAACAAAACCATACAAATTATCAAGGAATTGAAAGGTTCTCACCTGTCACAGGTGACCTGTTTCGCAACTCTGACGTAAGTTACAGAAACTAGACTTCCATCACCTAAATCTAGTATCTACAGTGTGTATGATTCGTTTAGCCGCACACAGTTTTTGCTTTTTTCTTTCTAATATGCAACTTATAAAAATTCAACTATACTGTCAAATATTCTTCATTTATTACGTAATCAAGTAAGCTATAAATAATATTTTTGAAAAAAAAGTAGAAAAAAAATGAAAAAATAACGAAAATTTGGATTATGAAAGTATGATTCGTTTAGCCGCACTAAGGAAAAAAAGTATTTTCAGTGGATATTGTAAACAAATAAAGTTAATTTGTAAGTAATTTTAATTAAATCGATTATTATCTATAAAGGAACGCTATTAATTCATTAGATTACTGATTAAAAAACAAAAATTTAATCATGCCAAAAGGAAAATACTTAAATGAGACTGAAAAGGCTGTAATTGATCAATTAATATCGATTGAGCTACCCAATCGGGATATTGCGAAGCGAATTAATAGAGACGAGAAAGTAGTAAGAAATTATTTAGCAAAAGGCAAAGATTATGGCAAGAAAAAGAAGACAAAGGGCAATACAAAAATTACAAATCGTGACAAAAATCGTCAATTTAACTTGCTTCTACGGAAAACTACTTTTTTAATGATATCATACGTGAATTAGATCTGCTCATTAAGAAAGCTCAAGTTTGTAAAATATTGCGAGACTCTGGCCGCTTTAAATATGTCAAGAAGATGAAAAAACCTATGTGGAATCCTGAGCATATTGTAGAACGATTTAATTGGGCAAAAAGATAAGTTCATTGGACTACGGAGTGGAAACATGTGGTCTTTTCAGATGAGAAAAAATTTAATCCTGATGGACCTGATGGATTTCATCACTACTGGCACGATTTAAGAAACGAAAAGCAATTCAACTTCTACTCGGATACTACTTGGATGAACTCAGACAACTACACTGGTGGAAATTGAAATGAGACACCCATGTTTTTTATGTGAAAGTCTCACAAATGAAAGATTAAGCCTTACTTGTTGTATATCATTGGAAAGGACTTAAAAAATAACTCAAGTACAGGAACAATGTAGTGACTGAAAATGTAGCAGTTTAAAGTTATTTACAAAATATGATTTTTGAGGTGGAAATTGAAATGAGTCACTTTAGAAAAATTTACAAAAATCTTCCTCAATTTTGACTTTGATTATACATATTATATATAGACTTGTAGATTTTTACTTTCTTAACAATACTAGAGCATTCTAAAAATTTTTGGAACTTCCAGTCATCTAATATCCTCAAGAAATTTTATAAACATACGTTTTATGTGCATAAAATATTAATAAATGACAAAAATAAGAAAATTTTAACGGAATTTTTCGATTTGAATTTTTGCATTAATAATGTGAAAAATTTATGGAATTTGATATTTTGGGATTTCATCATGAATTAAATGTTAATCCTAGCGTTTATGGATGGAGATAAAAAATATATGGAATTGAAAACTAATAGTAAAAACAATGCAGAAAGTGTCCTGAAAACTTCAGATTTTTTTGATTGACCAAAATAAGAAAAAAATTATTTTTTCATATCCGTACTCATTCATAACAAGCATTTTAATTAATTTTTGTGATTTAAGCTTATGTTGAGGTAAATATCAATTCTTTATCTGAAAGAGCATTTAAAATTCTACATATTTTGATTTCATTTGTTATTAATAGATGATTATTCTTAAAAATATTTGAGGGCAAGACCGTTTTTCGATTAAGTGTCAGATTTTGATGGTTTTTTGTCTATTACTCTTAAACGACAAACCCAACAATAAAACTTGATATATTGTTTTATAGAACTTTTTGATGCCTATCTTTTGGCATATAAATTTTTTACGGAAGTGCTATACTTAAGGCTGTGGAGTCTTAAAAGTGACAAAATCTGACACTGAATTTTTGGGAAGGGTATTTGAAGTTTTACTAAAACTAGTCTATCTCGCTTAGTTTTACACCGATTTCCATAGTTTTTTCAGCAATATTTAGTTTAAAGCTACAGTTATCATTAAAAAGTAATAAAAACAAAATGGCGACTTAATAAGTTAATTTAATTAATGTTTTTAACCTTATTTTCCTATATTTTACTTTCAATTTTTAACTTACTTAACTTTTTTCTTGACACAAATATAGTTTTGTACCTTGGCTTTATGATAGAAGCCAAAAATTTTTGAAAAAAGTAGTATAATTAACTTTTTTTGGTCATTTTGTAAAATTGCCTTTAAATGGCAATTGAATAGATATTCTTTTAATTTTATGATGTAAAATGATAATTTTACATCAAATATGCTTAGTTCTAGCAAAATATATCACAATATAATGTTATAGAACAAGAAAAAAGCAAAAACTTTAAAAACTTTAACCAAAAATTTTTAACCGTTTTTGAAAATTTAAATTTTTGAGTTGATTAAAGAGTTGTAAAATAGACTTTTTGTTAAATTAACTAAATTAGAAGGCTTTATTGCAGTAAACTCTTGCAGGAAAGTTGTAATTTATCATTATTTAATGCTTTTTGAAGGACAATAATGAAAATTTCATTAAATTTATATGTAAAATCAATTTTGGTTAATTTAACTAATTTTGTGTATTAATTTGAAAATGTGTGTATGATAAATGAAAGAAAATAAGATTCTCAACAACTTTTATGAACATATCAGCTCCTTTTACAGCTTCCTTCTTGGATAAAATTCACTTTGAATGTTTGATTTAGAAATTAAACTAACTTATGAAGTCGCCATTTTGAATTTTTTTGGTTAAAAATTAAGTTTTCATATTTGGCTATAAACCACTGAAAGAATTATGAAGATTGAACAACCAAACTCTAAGTAAATCAACTTTCAATATTTGTTCACTTTTTTCGCGGTCTTGCCCTTGATGAAAACAAAAAACTTGGCTTTTACTACTTTCTCTTGAGGATATTAGATGACTGGAAGTTCCAAAAAAATTTAGAATGCTCTAGTCTTGTTAAGAAAGTAAATATCTACAAGTCTATATACAATATGTATAGTCAAAATCAATATTGAGGAAGATTTTTGTAAATTTTTCTAAAGTGTCTCATTTCAATTTCCACTTCAAAAATCATATTTTGTAAATAACTTTAAACTGCTGTAGGATTGTTCCTGTAGGATTGTTCCTGTACTTAAGTTATTTTTTAAAGTCCTTTCCAATGATATACAACAAGTAAGGCTTAATCTTTCATTTGTGAGACTTTCACATAAAAAACATGGGTGTCTCATTTCAATTTCCACCAGTGTATATTCAGCTCATGGAAGATGTTTTGATTCCATTTACGGACGATTTTATGGATGGTGACTTCATTTTTGTCCAAGATAATGCTTCAATTCATAAAAATAAAAAGACTATGTAATGGTTTAGTAACAAAAATATCGTTGTTCTCGACTGGTAAAGCAATAGAGAATCTATGGCGAATACTTGGCCGTCGAGCATATAGTCGAGGTCGTACATTTTCATCCATTTAAGAGCTTGAAGTTGAAGTCCGTAATTGCTGGCGAAATTTATTAACACAGATATTAGAAACTTTAGTCAATTCCATGCAAAATCGTCCAATTGAACTTATACGTAAGAATGGACACGAAACAAAAAACTAATTCATCGTTTTTGGGCAAATAAAATATTTTTTTCCTTAGTGCGGCTAAACGAATCATACTTTCAAAATCCAAATAAATGAAGAATATTTGACAGTATAATTGAATTTTTATAAGTTGCATATTAGAAAGAAAAAATCAAAAAACTGTGCGGCTAAACGAATCATACGCACTGTAGTTCTAAAAGACACAATTATTATATTCCCGAATTTTTCAGATGGAAAAGGACATAATCGCTGTGGTACACGATAATGTTATTGAGATGATAGATTTAAGTGGACAACCGAAAACATCCAAAAAGATTTGTTTGTCTAGGTTTGAGTTCGATTTTAAAGTGGATGGAATGGGTAATTGAAACTACTTATAATCTTATCGATTTGTTATGCTCATAAATGTCATAAATTTTTAGTTGTTGTTCAAAACGATAGCATTTTAGCATTTCATTCGCATGGAATGCAGGGGAGATCTCTTAAAAATGGTGCCATTACGCAAGAAATTACAGATACGAGTAAAGTATATCGATTGTTAGGAAGTGAAAAGTGAGTATAATGTGCTTTAAAATTGGCAAAATTTTATACTTAACATAATCATGATTTTTAAGGGTCGTTTCTCTAGAGAGTAGTCAAACACGAAGCAATAATGAAGGAGGTGTTTCTGAAGAATATCATGACCTATATACGTTAGCGGGTCATGAAGCTAGTTATTAGAAACATGTTACTTCAAAAATAAAAAAAAATTAAAGTCATTCTAATAAACTGCAACAGATACGAACAAAACCACAATATTTAAAAAAAAAAACTAGAGAAACTTTAAAGTATTTAACACCATTTTTGTGTAGACAAAAACGAAGAATGTACTACAAAATTCAGAAGATATTACCTTAGAACATAGAATGCAGGGAGAGACCAATGTTCACATACTTGACGCAAATATATATTTAATTAAAGAAAAAAAAACTTTGTCGTTTTGATGGTTTAAGAGATAAAAACACTAAAAATTCAAGAAAAAAAAAGTTAATCATCTCGTGTCGTTCAGAAACAAAACAAACGTTATGTTTTTTAAAATTCTTAGATGTTAAAACAAGTCATTATCTTTTAAAATTTATGACGATAATAATAAAAATGGAGAAATTATTTTCTAGTTTAAGTTTAAGCAACATTTTATTTGGGCATGATTTGCATGAAATTTGTAGTGTTTCAGGAGGATATTTAGGAATTTGTAACTGATTTTCTCAAGTCTTCGTGTGAAAGCTTGTTTTTGGAGGTAAAAATTCAATAAGATAAAATTTTACGTAAAAAATGATCATAATTATTCCAAATTCAAACAAGTCTGAATCGCTGAGTCTAAAACGTTTGATGAACCAAATAAGGAGCGGATTAGAACAATATCATTCCCTAATAGGCAAAGAGCATGCTCACAAATTTGAGCACACGCAAGAGCATACTCAATTATAGAAATTTATGTGTTCAAATGAACATACTCTCATGAGGACATAATGAGTACAAAAACGTGGTATACTCACTTGAGTACATTCATTGAGTACGCTCTCTAACATACTCTAAGTACATCAAATCATTAAATTTTAAAATTTAAAATCAAAGTTAAATGTGTTATTTGCCAATAATTTTACATAAGGTAACACAACTCGGTAGAGTGGAGGTAGCAACGCAGAATTTATCTAAGAACACAGTAGTCAGAGGTTCGAATCCCGGTAAGATTTATAAAATTTTCATTAATCATTTCTTCTTTCTTTCTTTCATAGCTTTGAAAATTAAACAGCATAATAAAAAAAAGTACACATTAATTATGTAAAATAATAATATCTTTTGAGTACTTCAATAGTCAGATTAAGATGTACTTTTATGAGTATATTAAAAATATGTCAAACCAAGTATGCTCATTTGAGCATATGTTTTATGTGCTTAATTGAGCATAAAGTGTGTCACATGTGACATGACACATAAAAAAATGTTTTATTTCAAGAGTGTGCTCAAAGTATAACTGAGTGAGTATGCTCTGGTGAGTACGCTTTTAGGCGTAAAGTAGTGGCACAAACTTTTGTATGAAAGAGCATACTTTTTAGAGTATACTCAGCAAAAATTAGAGTGTGCTCTTTCTGTACTCTTTGCCAATTAGGGATTATTATCTGCAAGCTATCAAATACATATCATCACTACCTCAATTAGCCAATATTACAAGTCAATTAATTGTTAATTGCAATTAATCAAGAAAATTCATATCTGCTTTGCTATAAAGGTACTCAACTCATGAACAAAGAACATTAAAAACATTTTCATTGCAGCCAAGACAAAGAAAAGCAATGCTGTTATGCAAAAAAATCAATTTAAATACAACAGCGTGCAATGGAGAAATTAAAATGAAGAGTATCATTAAATGTAGCCTAAAGGCATTGCTGTGAGAGTACTGGTCTAATAATCTCAAGAGCTATGTTCTGGATTGGAAAGTTCTTGTCTGCATTTCAGTAATAATAATTCTAGCTCAATGGACAAATCGGAGACATCAAAAATGGGAAAAAGGGACTTAAAAACAGAAGGCATGCATTATCGATCGTTAATTTGAATCTAAATCAGACTTGAAATGAATCAAGTCAACTGAACAAATTTCCCCTACCTAAAAAAATCAAAAACTTTATACAACAGAAAAACAAGTATTCAAAAATTGAGCAAGCAGCATAGCAACATACTCAACAAATTCTTATTGGAAATGTACAAACGATGTAGTAGTCAAGCAGTAAGCGACGCGGATCAGACCGAAGATGAAAATGAAAAAATATTTAAAATACTTAAATTAGTAGTAATTTAGCGATCGAGGAGTTAAAAAAAGAAAAAAATAATTGCAATATCAAAAATATTATCGGTCAAGTTTATATTTTTAATTTATAAATTGAGGTGCGAGTGTTAAAGGAGAGATTTTATTGATGAAATTTTACCTAGGAAGAAAAAATTTGGATGCATAAAATTGCATTTGTTCATAATAATCTGTGAAAAGCATAAAAGTTATTAAGAAAAATGTGGATAAGTTCTAAAAGATAATTGGATACAAATGAATAAATCGTCAAAATGTAAGTGCTGATGTCCCAAAGTTCATTAAAACAAAACGATTTGTTTTCTTCCTGACTTTTTTTTTTCTTTCATTCTATCCAATTCAATGAAGGAAGGAAGAGAAGAAAAAAAATTGTTTATAGGAATTAAAAGTTTATTTACAATTTTTCTCAGTTGTTTACTGATAAGGAACATAGTTTGAAACTAGAATTGTCAAACTCTTTAATGTAATTAATGTTTCAAAGCGGAAATTTTATGATTTTAAGTTCTTATTTGATTTTTTTTGTGGAACCTCCTTGGTTTCGCAATTCTTTCTTTGCATGGAGGAAAAAAAAAAATCTTCATATTTTTCTTGTTAGCAAATTCGACACCCACATTATTATAAAAAAAAAAAACGTGATGAGTCTTTTCTTTCATTCTCATCTACAGATGTTTGAGTGATTCATTAACGAAATATTAAAAATTCATTAATTGTAGTCATAACTATCGTTAATTTATGGATTCCTCTCTTATAATTTGCGTCATAATGGTCAAAAGAAACCGAGAATATCGCACGTAAACACAGTCGCTACATAAATTTATTTGCTGAAAGGAGATAAAACTTAATTTAATCTTTTGATGCATATTTATTTTTCCACATCAACAATATTCGCATTATTTAGCAAATTTTCTCTATTACGATTAACCACTGACATGATTTATTGCCCGTTAACTCGATTTGATAAGTCAAAAAATAGCTAGACAATGATCTTTTATCTATTCTTAGAAGAAACCTATGAACAAGGAATGATAGATAGTGTGAAATGTATACAAAAGAAAATTCTATTAATATCATACAAAACATAAATTCGTTAGCACTAAATTCTATTCTCTTTCCTCTAACTCAACATGATGTTGATGATGATGAAATAATTTAATCAATAATAGAGGAATGAAAACAAAGATTTAAAGCAAAATCTCTGTGGATTTGTTGAATCTATGTGATGATTTAATTGATGCTGTCAATCGATTTTCCTACCTTTTTTATGCTCTCCGTACGTGATAGATTTTTCATCTTACAATTTATATTTTTTTTCTAGTTTTTGTTATGATAAAATGGGATGTATGAAATTGATTTTGATGGTTTCATTACCGGTATGTTGTGCCAAAAAAGATATATTTTTTGTTCTTTGCTCTAAAATGGGGGCAAATTCACCACTTACGACCATTTTAAATTAAATTTTTTCATTTTCAACAAATTTTCTTTAAACACATAGCTTTAGATCAGTGTAGTCCAAACTTTTTTGATTGGCTCCAAAATTTTGAAATCAGGCTTGTGGCTAGTAGCAAGATAGTAAATCATCTAACCCTCTTCCCAGCTTCACTTTTGTTTTTTCAATCCAAAAAAAACTTGAACCTTTAAAAAGCTTCTAGCTACGAACCTGCTAGACGTCACATTCATATTGCACCCAAAGAAAATTCACATCCTTCTATTTTCGTTTTTACTCAAAATTTATATTTTGTTTATTTCTGGAAAGCCATATTATCAGAGATATACAAAATATCTGCAATGACAACTGTCTCGGGGCACTTAATCACATAAAAATTATAAATTTTGGATCAAAGAACATTTTCTTTGCAATTAAGATTTTACTTACATAGCATAACAGATTGAAATTTGTAGATGTATCTTTCCGAATTGACGTAGGTCCAAAAGCTATTAAAAGTTGTTATTTTTTGAATCTGCGGTTTATATTTAAATAACATCATATCTATTGATGATTAGATTTATATATTTTTTACCACGTTTTTTTAACTTGCTTTCTTGCTTAGTTTAAACTTATCGATTGTGTAAAAATTCTCTTTTTTGTATCTATACAAACAAGTAATAACAATATCATCGATACACATGTCTATTGCATGCGAATGGTTTTATTCTTTGAGCTCTTTATCATTATTTAATTCAATCAGCTTTTAAACGGCTTTAAAAAATACAAGTTGGAAAATTTTATTGATTTAAAATTGAGGAAATCTGTGCGCTTAATGTGCTGATATTTTAACATTCTGCATTCATGCTAAAGATATATTCAAGAAAAGTAGGCTAGTGGAAATGTTTAGGTGCAAAAGTTGATTAGGCAACGTGATCTTAAATTTCAAATTTTATTACTAAAAGAGTTTTGTAATATGAATTACTAAACATCTTACCCTGTTTTTTCGTTATAAGCTAGTAGCTTAGAAGAATAAAAAAGTGATTTTTTTTTTTGGCTTAGTATCGAGTAGTAGCTTAGTAAAAAAATTGAACTTCAATGAAAATTTTGAATTTTTTAACTTAATTAAAGAAATTTTGCTATCTTCTCGATTTTATTTCATTGACAATGTCATAAGGCATTGAAACTGATACTTAGAAAGTTGAAAAAAATTAATTAAACTTTATTTTTGGTAGTACCTTAGTAAAGATTACAAAAAATTTTCAAGTTCAAAAAAACTTTACTAAGCTAGTCGCTTAGTAACGAGAAGTAGCTTATAACGAAAAAACAGGATAAAGAATTTAAAAGTTCAAACTTTATCATGACAAAAAAATGCATTTTTGAGGTTTAGTAATTGTTTAAAAAAATTCAAGTTACCAAACAATTAAAAAAGATATCAATTTTTCAATCCGAAGAGAATTTGTATGTATCTGTTGGGAATTGAACCCTTATTCATTCTTTCTGTTTTTAAGAAGTTGGTTCATGCTAAGCTAAATAGCTATTGAAATTGTACTTTCTTACTTGGCTTAATTGCTTACTTAAACTTCCGTAATAAGTTACCAAGGCTTTTAAAGATTCATTTTGTGTCAATTTTAAAAGTTTTAATTTAATGACTTGTTGTCAAAAAAATTTCAATAATTGTTTATGAATTTTTGAAATGTAGGAATGCATACCAACTCTATTAAGCCTGCATAATTTCAAGTGAACTATGAAGGCACTTAGCTGTTTATTGTTTTTCTAAAAAGAATTAATTTTACTATTTACATTATTAATTTCATTTCCATCCAAATAAAAAATTATTAATGAAATCCACACTCGCTCAAACTGCAACAAAAACAGCTAAAATTCTGCGAAAATAGCTTAATTTTTTTATATATAAATCCACAACATTGCAGTCGTATTATATAGCCGGTATTTAAATTTTAAAATAACACAAGAAATACTTTGGCAATGAATTTTTATGAATGTCTGTAGCACATTGAAGAAATTATAAAGCTTCACTACAGCGATCAATCGAGTGTTTTTCTGCCTGTGGTCAGTGACAGTGAACGAATTGAAAAAAAAAATCAAACATTTAGAATGTGTTCAATAATAAAAAAATAAACTCGTGGCTCTGCCAATAGACTCGAAATAAAAGTAAAATCAAGTGTATGTACGTGCAGTACATAAAGTGTGCGGAATAATGTAGAATGAAAGGGAACGACAATTAGACAATCTTTATAGTTATTGAAGGTCGCATAACAATTTTAATTTTTTTTTGTAAGATTGCCAATAATTTTCGCACCTTTAAAAATCTTATCTTTATGCCTATTACTAATTTAAATTTTTTTTTCTGTCGAATGAGATTTAATGCCGAGAAAAATGATTTCATCGACTGAGTGTTTACAGTCACACTCGAAATATTTGAAATGTTTATGCTTACTTACTTATTTCACATTCTTTATCTTTTTAATCCAATGAAATGTTGCATTTGCTTTGTTTTATTTTACTTAAACTTATTATTTATTTAATACTTTCGTAGAGGTTCTCAAGCCTCGTTACTCGTTAGTATTGAGCTGTTGATTATATTTTTAAAATAGACATTTTTTGATGTGCTTAATGCATTAGATTTAATATGCACAACCGAAATAAACTTTTTTGTCATTGTGGAAATGATAGTGACTGGGTGTGTTCAAAACAAGTTTGGAAGTTTTGTTTTTAATCTTAATTAAGCAGTTAAGTGCCTTGCTGGTCGAATAGGTAGCGCTTGGCTCAAATTTTGTTATGTTAATTCGAAGGTTGTCGGTTCGAATCCAGCCATTTCCAAATTTGTTCTTTTTCAGAAGTTTAGATACTTCGACTGCTTAATGTACGAGATCAAGCCATAATTGGGCATTTTGGGCAACGTTGGATTAAGGAACGGGTCAGGAACTTGAAGTGTAGCGGAAGAAATAGGAACGAGAGCTACAAGATTACCTTATAATAAAATATTGTCAGAACGGACCTGAAAAGTATCACGTCACGCCCACAGAAGATTGAAACGAGAGCCTGAATTTAATCGAAACCTAGATTTGAAGATTAGAAGCTTGATTCTACGTCACCCATAGTGATATGAAATGTATCACTAATCAATGTAAAACGTAAAACATGTATAAATACTAATTCTTCCGGACGGTAACGTCGACAAATAAATAATAATAATAATAAAAAATTAATTTAAAATTCTAGTTATCAATTCTCAGCCTGAAGAAGAAGGCTCAAAATATTATTTGATTCAGCTTCAATTTCACTGTGGATTAGATGTTCTTATATCATTCTATTCTCGGTACATGTGTACTTAATTGTCACTAGATGCATTTGTTTGGCATCTCTTGAGTTATACAATTATAATGTAATGCGATGAATAAGCCTACAAACAGGAAATTAAGGATTACATTTTTAATATGCTCTTCTATTTTTCAATAATGTTAATTAGCTTAAATTATATATCAATATCGGAGATGCCTTCTTAAGAAGCCTGACGCTGTAAGATAATTCCATCAAAAATATGATTTTGTAACCAGGGGTAAAGGGAAAGGATCTCAGACTCCCAGTTATGATTGTAAAACTCAATTAACAGTCCTTTAGAAAGTTTAAAGAACCAAAGAAAATCTTCTTTCATTTACAAGTTCGAGAATCAAGAGTTTTACACAGAAATTACATGCCATGTGCAGTATGCTACTTAAAAAGATTAAAAATTGATTTTGCCAGAAAAATCTGCAAATCAATTCAATCTATTTCTGGTAAAATTATTAAACGAACATTGAATCAGATTT